TATTATTATTATTATTATTATTATTATCGCAAAAAATATTTTTATTTAATAAAAAGCCCGAAGCCCGGCCCGAACCCGCCCGAAGCCCTGTAGGGCCGGGCTCCGGGCCATCGATCCTAGACCCGAAAAATAAATGGGCGGGCCGGCCCGGCCCGAAAAATTCTAGGCCCGAATTGAACCCGACCTGAACCCGGCCCGACCCGCCCATTTTACACCCCTACGGATATGTCGAAAAGCTCGGGTGTGAGATATCTAGCTATCCACCTCCATTATACAATGATACCAACAATAACTTTTTATTTATTCAAAAATATTTTCTTTTAAAGTGAAAAATACCAAACTATAACTTACAAAACTATACTCTTGTGTAAAACTAAACATGGATTTTCGAGGGTATAGTTAAACTATTTTGTAGTTTTTTTTATAAAAAAAATTACAGCTATTGATTTTTGAATTTTCTTTTCTTCAAATTTGTTTTGGATTCTCTGAAAAATATTTTTTTTAAAATAAAAAATATTAAGTTTTGAGGTAACTATCATATTGATATCGAAATGTTGAAACTTCCAAAAAATATTAAATCATTAAATTTGACAAAAATATGAAATTTTAAATTTTTTACAAAATTGCTATCTACATTAAACCCAATAGTTGAACGAAATGATGTAGTATTGAATTTTTACCATATCATATACCCCATCAAATTAAAAAAACTAAGAAAAATAAAAAATAATTATAAAGACCACATCAAATATAAAAATTATGAAAATTATGATAGTTATCTGTAATTGTTTGGGCAAAATTCCTAAAAAATTTCCGTATTTGCAATTCGGTAGAAAACTAATTCCTGAACTTATAAGTGTCCTTATTTATTCCCGACTTGAAAAATTGGACACGATAATTCCTAAACTTGTTTAAAAGTGTCATAGTCATTCTAACAATAATTTTGATCAAAATAAGGTGTTGAACAATCTCACTTGGCGCGTAAATTATCAAGATACGTCTGACTTTTATGTCATTTATGTAGAACTGGATATAATAGATACGATTTAATAAAACCGGTTCGTAATAGTAAACGACGCCATTCTCATCGAAAAATCTGGGATGAAAGAGATGTAGTCCCGATGACGGTTACTTCGACGTCAAACGCTCATGTTTCGGCAGAGACGCCGACAATTTGGATTTAGAACTTGAGAACCGATAGTGATGATCATTATTCTGATCTCCGTCGTTATCCCATATCTTTTGATGAACCGAAATTTATACTATTACGAATCGGTTTTGTTAAACTATATCTATTAAATCATGTTCTGCATATATTGTATAAAAGTCTGACATGTCTTGACAATTCATGCGTCAAATAAGATTGTTTAATATATTATTTTGGTCAAAATTTTATTGTTAGGATGATTATGACACTTTTAAGCAAGTTTAGTAATTATCGTGTTCAATTTTTCAAGTTCATGAATAAATAAGAACATTTGTAAGTTCATGAATTAGTTTTCTACCGAATTGCAATATACTCTCGTATAAAACTAAAAATGAATTTTCGAGGGTATAGTTAAATTATTTTATAGTTCTTAAAAAAATTACAGCTATTGAGTTTTGAGTTTTCTTTTTTGATCAAATTTGTTTTGGATTCTCTGAGAAATTTTTTTTTGAAAAAAAAAATTTAATTGAGTTTTGAGTTAACTACTTCATTGATACTGAAATGTTAAAACTTCCAAAAAAAATAACTTTGACAAAAATTATCGAATTATAAATTTTTTAACAAAATTTCTATCTACGTTAAACCAAATGGTTGTAGAATGAAATGACATGGTATTAAATTTTTACCATATCATATACCATATCAAATTAAAATAATTTAGAAAAAATAAAAAAGAATTATAAATACTACATCAAATATAAAAATATGAAAAATATGATAGTTATCTGTAATTGTTTTTTGAGATTTTTTCTGATTTAAAAAAAGAATTTTATTTTTGTTTTTTATTATGTATAATATCGAAATAGATTCGTTTAATTTGATTTTAAAAAATAAAATCTGTTAATTTTTAAATCATAGTAAAAAAAATATTTATGAATATGGGTAGAGGTGTAAAACGGGTTAGTTCGACCCATTCTATCTCGATCTCATAATTTTTTAGTACAATCCATCATGACCCATCTTTTTGCGAGTAAAAACTTATTTAGGTCAGTCCACCTAATTTTATAGGAATGGGCGAACGGTTCGATTCAGGTTAATCGGTTACGGTTAATTCGTGTTCGGGTATTTCGGATTTTGAATATTCATAACCAAACAGTTATTTAATTTTATTCGGTTCAGTTCGATTCAGATTTGGTTTGGTTCGGTTCGATTTTATATACTTGAAATTATAACCAAATAAAAATTCAGTTCGGTTCAGTTATAATATTAAAAAAAGTTTTAAAACGTTTATAATAAAAAAATATTCAAATAAGATATAATATAAAATACCATCATGATCATCTTAACATATAAAACAATAAAATCTAAAATTTATGTAATAATTTGTTTTGACGTAAAAAGATTTTAAATAAATTTTATCTTTTTCAAATGTTCATATAACAAAAAATTGAAAATAATAAAATAATAATGAAAAATTAATAAAACAATGATTAAATTAGAAAAAAAATTATATATGTCAATATCAATGATACTATTTTTCTAATTAGATTTAACATATATTGTATATTAATTAGTGATACATAGGTAAAAACGGTTATATTCGATTTATTCGGTACGGTTAATTCATATTCGGTTATTTCGGATTCGGTTATTTCGGATTTTAAAAAATATAACCAAACGATTATTTAATTTTATTTAGTTCGGATATATATCGGTCGGTTCGGTTAATAACCAAAACACCCGAATTGAATATCCACTCCTATAATCTTAGATCATGAGTCAAACAAGTTGGCTCGCGAACTAAATAAATTACTAAAAAATAAATTTTAAATATTAAAAAAACTATTTAAAAATATTATAAATATAAAAAAATTAAACAAAATTAAACAAAACAAGTCAAATAAGTATTAGAAACACAATTTTAATATAAAAAAGTATTAAAATATTTAACGAGTGAAGGACATTTTTATATGACCAACAAGCACATGAATATAGGATATGAATTTGGATTCAATTCGCAAATCAAATGAGATACCCAAAAATGAGGTTAGTGAAGGACATCTTCCACAATATCCAAAAAAAAAAAAAACAGCTGATTTTTTTAAGTGTGATTATTTTGTGAATGCCACCTGGCATTGCAAACTGTTTGGATTTTGTTTGGGCCTAATGGGCCCAACAATGCCTAAAGTAAGCCCTCTTTCTCGATGGAAGAGCACAAAAAAGGAAGCGACGAGAGAAACACAGAGACAACCTTGAACCGATGGCAAGATCCGTAATTCTGTGTCTCATCCTCGCGGCGGTTCTGACGTCATCTCCGGCGGAGGCCTCCGGTGACGACAACCGAGTCTACTCTCCGTGCTCCGATTCCAGGGTTGCGGTCGGTGATGGATTCTCATTCGGCCTCGCCTTCGCTGCAAAAGAATCCTTCTTCAACAGCAATCGTTCCGTACAGTTCTCTCCATGCGATCGCCGACTCTCTCTCTCTAATTCAGGTTCTCAGGTCGCCGTTTTCCGACCGAAAGTCGATGAGATCACCCTCCTCACCATCAACACCTCCAGCTTCCGACCGGTTCGATCCGTTTCCCTGATCTGATTTTTTTGATGAATTAAGGGTTTCGATTAGATCATAAAGGAGAGGGTTTTTAGAGTAAAGTTTTTGGTAAATTCTATGGGAATCCTCCTGATCTGATGCCGGTTGACTCTGAAGTTACATGCCAAGATCAGTTGATAACTAGTTTAAAATTTCTGGATCCGGCTTAGAAATTTCAGAAACTTCGTGTTCGAGGCATAATTCCTGTAGTTGCTTAGGTTATGTTTCAGATCACTTCTTGATGGGTTGTGTATGTTAGTTTCAATTTTCCAGTCTCTGAAGATGTGCTTCGTCTCTGCATTCCTCTGTCCTGTCTTATAGCAAAGGGAATGGTGTAAAAGAGAGATTTAGCATGACATTAGGTATTATCATGCCAAATGATCTGACATAGAGCCCCCGTTATTAGACAATTCGAAGGATATCGGGTAAGAAACGGTTTGACATATAGTGGAATTATCATTGTAAGGGTTGAAGTACGAATGTATCTATCAAGACTGATGTATAATAGCGTTATTTATCCTCTAAAATTTTTGGTGAGGAAGTTCTGATGGGCTGAAATATATCTCTTTCAGATACGGAGGTTCTAAATCTGTTTCCTGCTAACTTGATGCTTTGTGAATTGTGATGCTAATCACGACTTTGACCGGTTGATTGCAACACTGAAAATGTAAATAACTTGATTACTCTGTCTTCCCAGGACTCTACGGGCGGTTTTATGGTAGCATTTGCTGGTTCGAAATATGCTGCAAGATCGGTCCCAGTTTTCGTTGCGGATAATAACCTCATCGTGACAAGCTTCACTCTTGTAATTTGATAAGCTTCATAACCCTTTTCACTCTATGAAGTTTCTACTATCCTCTCATTTCTAGTCTAATCCTGTGGGTTTTTCATCGACATAGGTTCTTGAGTTCCAGAAGGGCAGGCTTCAGAACTTATATTGGAAGAGAGACGGTTGTGCCAAATGTGCTGGAGATGCGAAATTTGTGTGCTTCAACAAACAGGAGTGTGCAATCAGAACGCAGAACTGCAAGAACCGAGGAGGCCAAGTGGATTGCAGTCTCGGGATCCAGTTGGCGTTCTCGGGCACGGATAAACACTACACCGCCCTAAATTCGTGGTACGAGGTAGCAAACCTTCGGCAGTACTCGCTCTACGGCCTCTACTCCAATCTACGGGATTCTCTTACCAACCAGTTCAAGAACATCTTCTGAGTTTCCACCTGATGTTTTTGTAAGATTCTTCGCCCCTCGGTTTTAGTTTGTGATTATTTCTTGCCTGTATGTTATATTCTTTGTGTATTCCTCGTTCTCCGTTTGCTTGATTCCTGCTATACTACTATTTTCAACTTTGACAGTGCCTTTATATGAGCAAATGAGATATATGATTGTTTCAGTGACTTGTGAGTTTGGAGAGTTGAAGAATTTCAATGACTTGTAAGTATTGTTTCTTTTTGGGCGTTAGAAGAGTAATTTTGATTTGTGAATTGAAGATTCTTACCTGCAATACTCTTAGCTTATTAAATTTAAAAGTGATATGCTTTTGCAGTTAATTCTCTATGATTTAAAAGTGTTGTTTGAATTTGATCTTCAAATCTCAAGGAGTAGGGATACATGTATCTTTGTGTTATTGCATTTAAAAAGTATATTATATAGTTATTATGTCTCAAATATCTTAGATTGAATTGTTTCTTTTACGAAATTTTAGTATATTCAGTTGCGTCCATCTATGTATAAATAAAGCTGCAAGAGAAAGAGCCAAATTGAAAAATTACAATTTATGAAAGAAATACCAAAAAGAAGATGTATGTATTCAACTTTATTTTTTCTCTCTCTCTCTTTTTTTTATAAATGAAATATCACTTTTAATATCTTGCAATTGTTCATACGTTTACAACATGACCAAAGAGACGAAACCAAGAACATAAAAACATAACTAAGCAACACCACTGAAACCCCGACAGTAACCAAACCTAACCATAGAGACCGAGCATATGTAGAGACACAGAAACATGATTTGATACCATATTATCATCACTGAGATGGATCCTTATTGGCACCATACCGACCAACCATATCGCCTTGTCGAGGAGCCGACGGTGACCCTTCACCAGGCGGCTGCAGCCGAGGACCACCGCCAGCTGAGTTGTACTCTCCTCCATGGCCAAGCGGCTGAAGCAACAGGTCGGTTCCAAATGGCTGCAGCCCCAATTCGATAGGTGTCTTGCTGTTGGTTCCTTCTCCTCCCAGAGGAGCCGTCAGATTGAGGTTATGCCTCGTTAAATTCGAAGGGAACGGTCCCAATTGGCTCCTCAGGATGGCCTTAGGGTTTGCATGACCTTCAAGAGAGGGAAGGCCAAGTCCCATGGGAACCAAGCTCGATCCGCTGCTGGGATTTATGTTGTTGAGATTTAGCTTCATCATCGTGCTTTGGTACGACGATTGAAGGGCTAATCCTTCTTGGGAATTTTGAGGAGACATTAGATTCATCTCCACGTTAGGGTTTGCTCTGTTGCTTCCACTTCCTTGGTCGGGAAGAAAACTTCCGTATCGATGAATGGAAGTATCACCCATGTGGATATAGCTTTGGTTTTCTTGATAAGGGATCCCCACGTTGGTGGAGATAGAAGGGGTGAAAATCCATTGATCCATCAAGTATTGATTTTGATGATTCATAGGGTTTGAACCAACGCCATTTCCTCCCCCTCCTGGTGCTGCAACCGCCGGCTCATCCCTCAAGGGCTGGTTTGGAAGGCTCGAAACGTTGTGGAGAGGTGGTTGGTGAATCAACTCACCCCTTTTCCTCAACAGGTTGATCTTGTCCTTCGTGTACGAGATCAATCCGTAGATCTCGCTCATGGTGAGATCCGAGAGTGTTCTACTATGATTGATGATTTGTAACATTAGCCGATCCATCTCGGCTTCTTGGTTCTTCTTCTGGCTCTTGACCAACTGCTCTTGAACCTTCCCTGCCTTATCCCTCAGATAAGACTCCTGATTCGTCGCCTTCTTGCTCCTCTCGATGTCGGGTAAGGAGAAATAACGGTCAAGGAGGCCTCGGGCCAACTCCTGGCTCGGCCAGACGAGCGGGTTGGCCTCTTCGTTGCTGAAAATGATCAAACAAGCCCTCACGTCACACAAGATCGTGAGTTCTTGAACCTTTTTCACCAACCCTAGTTTTCTCTTCTTCAAACTGGATTTTCTTGCGTTTTCATTCATGATCCATGCAAGTTTCACCTTTCTCTTTCCCGTTGTCGCCCTCATGATATGATCCCCTCCTCCCTCCCTCTCTTTCTCTTTTGTTTCTCTTCTTCTTCTTCCTTTGTGTGTGAAGGAATAGTGACGCATGTGAGGGTTTTATATAGGGCCAGAGGGGAGATGAGGTGGATGGTCAACAAAAGGCATAAGCATGAGTACATATGTTGGTTTGCCTCTTTTGAAATGGTCTTAAGTCGCATGTCATTTACCCTCTCTAGTGTATATCTTCTTTTAAAATTAGATTCGATAATTCTTTACAAAAGGGTATCCTTATTATTTCTCTACTTCCAAAAAAAGGATATATAATACCACATATAGAATATAGAAACTTTTATATGTATTCCTACTAAGGTTTTCAATTATTTCTTGAAATGGTTGCTCTCTTTTGGGATTTACTGCTAAATATTCTATCCATTTTCAGATATTGTTCCTTTATTTACATATAGTTAAAGATTTCTAAAATATTCAGATTTTTTTGGTCATATTTTTTTCTATAACGATTCTAATGTTTTTATGGAAAAAATAATTAGAACCAAGTGATTAAATGACAACTAGATGTAGATACCTTCCACTGGTTTTTCAATATATATATAAACTATGGGCTACAGATGTCAAAATAAATTGACTTCAATGGTTTAGGTTTAGAGTCTAATTCTAACCCATTAATGCTTAGGGACGTAAAATGGGTTGGTCTGACCCAGTCCAACTTGGATCGTTTCGATTTCGAAAATTTTCAGCCCAACCCAGTTCGACCCGACTTTTTAGCGAGCCAAAAATAAATCAGTCCAATCCATATCATCTGAGTAGTACATATACATATAACCAACAACTAGGAATTGACCCATAATAAAAACTAAAAAATTTTATGATTGTATATATAAAAAATTAAAATTTTAAAAAAATAATTATTTTTTCTAGCTCGCGAACCAGCCCGGATTCGCAAAAATATTGACTGGCTCATGAGCCAACCGCCAGAACTCATTTTACATCCCTATTAATGCTTAGATATGGGTTGAAATTTTGACTAATGGGTTTAGTGAATTCAATTGTGGGCTATGTATTTTTTTTTTTTATCTGTTTTGTAGCCATTAACCCGTGAACCGAGGCAAAATGACCCTTTTCGAAAGAAAAAAAAAATCTCTTGATCTTCTATTATGGTTTTGGTTCGCATGATTTATGAGATAGATTGGGAAAATTAGATCATATCTGTTGAGATTTACAAGAAAAACGAGAGAAAATGTATTTTTTTTTTCAGATTGAAATGAGAAAAATATGGTATTTAAAATATATGGAGTAAGAGCAAACTGAGAATAATAATAATGTAAACAAAATGAAATTACATAATCGGATATATGTAAGACTAAACCAAATATGTAACATTTGCTCATTTCAATTTAATAAATAAGGACATACAGTTCTACCAATAGGACATTTCAACGCGGTGCAAAATAATTTGGCGATAAGTTTTGTTTGTATAACATCTTTATGAATTCTTGTTACCATTGGCAATGATTGAAATGTGAAACCAGTCGCCTTGGACCCCGAAAATTGTTTCAATCATAAATATGAATCATTTATTAGAATTCTTTTATTTTCTTTGTTTTCCTATGCATAAGACTCATCGTAAATCATAAAATATATAAACACACGCACACATCACATTTGTACACTATGAAATTCTTATGACAGATGAAATATCTAAAACAAAAATTATTTTATCTAAGTTGAATAAAACTCACAAAATATAAAATATATATATATATATATTCATATTAAAAACAACTCATCATATAACGAAATAACAATTCTAACAAGAAAAAGACCTGTATCATCTAAAAATATTTACTTAAAATTCTAAAAAAAATAATAAAGGAAAATAAAATAGAAACAAAGAATCTGAAAAAAATATAATATATACACATCTTAGAGAATCAAATACGTGCCATTAGGAATCTATACAAAGCTCGTATAGCTTCCTTTCCTCTTCTTCAAGACTTATACCATCACTCCCACAACACGAAAAGGATCATACACACACAGACACAGTTTCCATCTAGAGAACACGCATCGAATGAAGAAGAAGATGAGATGAAGAAGATGCAGAACCACTGCACATAACAAGACAAATCACCGCACCATAGAGGAAACCAGATCGAAGAATGAGAATTTACCCGAGAAAACGCTTTGCAAACCGATGTTCATCAGGTATTCACATTTATGTGCTTCGATCCCCGGAGGTTTACACGGGAAAGAGGAATGATGGGTTTGTTTCAGTTTCAGACTTGTGTACTCGTAAGGCATCTCCATTGCCTTGTTCGAGGGCCTTTGTCTAATAGCATTAGAAGGCCATTGTTGCTTGATGACATTCCATACATGTACCTGCAGTTTTAAAACACAGAATGGACCGGGAATTAGTACGAAAGCAGCGGTCGGATGTGGTTAGTCCCATATCCCCGAAAGCTGATCTCTTTGACTCGGTCCATTCACATTTAGGAAACCCTAGGGAATTCATTGCGAGAACATGGTTCGACAGTGGAGTGCATTTCTTCATTTGGTTTCAAAAGTTTGTCTTTTTGTTTTTTCCCTCTGAATTCCATGTTTCTGTACACATTACTCCAACAGTTTCTTATGTTCTTACAAAGTACAATATTTGTTTGCAATAGAAATCATACTTTGATTGACGAAAATACTATAAGTGCAGCAAAACGATTATAAGAGAAGGACAAATTAATATCGGTTTGATAATGCCCAGTTCACTTACTTGCTTCGGCGAGCCTTCTTCTTCCAGAAAACCAAAGACACGATCCACTGCACAGACAAATTGAAAGGAGCAATTGAGGTGGTGCACTAAAACAATAAAGGATACAGAATGAAACAAGGTCACCCCAAACAAAAATAGTTCAAGTTTGGTTCAGCAAAATAGGGCATGCATTAAAATGGATATCACAACCGGGGATGTAGAACAAGAAAGCAAACCAACTTCGAAGATAGACATGAAAGAGAAAACCCCGACGGCAGAGGGTTTCCAGACAGGCATCCTCCGTTCCGGGACAACTTCCTTCGACAAATGTTGGGCGATTTCTTTCAGTAAGACCAATTGTGCTTTCTCAGTCCTCATAGACATAATCGCCTGTCTCATGGATTCCCTGTCAGCCTCCAGCGCTTGAAGCCTCATGTAGAGCTTCTTGATATCAGGATCACCGAGATCATGCTGATTCACCTGTCCTCTGGGAGAATTCCTCTCGATACCAGCCTCGCCGTGAGACACACCATTATGGACAGAATCAATGGTATAAATTCTATCATTCATGTCATCTACTATTTCAGATGAGTCGTCGTTACCCTTTGCAACGGTGTTATCTTCCGTGTATGAGACATCCTGCACTTTCTTGAAGCTATCATTGTCAGACCTCGGAGAATCAAAGAAAAGATCTGGTCTTAGTTCCCCTGTAGTTCCCAGGGGTGAACTTGAATTATCAACCGAAATTCTCTTGAAATGTCTGGGATGCCGAGGAGCCTGACCAACCACCACTTTTTCTATAACACCCCTCCCTCCTGATGATGAACCGCCATTCAACTGGGTGAAGCTAGGATTTCTCTCAATCTGGCTGATCCTACGTTCCAAACTGTTCAGATGTTCTCCTCCCCAAGGTGACTCGGCCAGTGGGTAGTACTCAACATCTGCAATATCAGTATCATCATCCAAAGGACCTGCGTTCTCATTTAAATTGCACTTTAGAGGAGGATACTCGTATGTGCGGAGTTCATACTGGGTGTCAATATCAACCATACTCGAGTTGCTGCTTAACAAGTTCTTCTCACCGTCAGCCTCTGCTTCCGAGAGCCCAAAACTCATCATCCTATGCTTATAAGCCTGGACCTCACATTGCAAAGCCTGAATCGTCTGCTCCCTGTTATAGACCAAATCTTCCAAAGCCAAAAGCTCTTGCTGGTCATGTTCCATTTTCTCCTCGGTAAAACGCTTAAACTGCCTAGCTTCCATTTGGATTTCAGCCTTTTCCCTCTGCAACCTCAATATCATTGACATCGCCTCATTTGCAGCTGTCGATGCAGCATTCCTCTCTTCCTCAAGTTCGGTGTACAAATCCTGAATTGCTTGCTGTTGACTGCTAACAGTCTCCCGTAACAACTCACATTCATTCTCTATCTGGACCCTGGCATTAGAAAACAAGTCCAGGTCCAGCCCCGGCACATGGAAACGGTTCTCACTCTCCAACTCGTCGTACTTCCGCTTCACAGATCGAATCCAGGAACCCGGGAAACCATTGTTTAGATTACAATTGCATTCACAATCACAACACTTGATCACATCTCCGGGAGAAGAAACCGTTCCAATATCCATGTTATATTTATTGTATCGAATTCCCAATTCCCAATTCCAGATTGCATCACACGGACATCACCAATCGTCCAAAAGTATATCACAAACCAAGCGTATCCTCATTCACCTGACCTTTCTCCGGAATCTAGATCCGGAGATCGATTTCGAAACCACAAACCCACAGTAATGCCAACTGTTCCTCTAGCAATCAAATCATGGGAGAAAGAAACAACCCTGAAATTTAAGCGGAGCTGGATTTGGGGGCAGTGACTTTCCCGGGAAAAGAATCCGGCTGAAGCCAAAGTCTGCGAAAAGCACAAGTTTCTCGAAATTAGCTAATAAGGAACTCGATTATACAACATAATCCATTCAAACCAATACGATGACATTTTTCCGCGAGAAAATTCTTCGCAGCACAATATCCCCATGAAGAATTTGAGCAGGAAACGGAGAAATCGACGACTTACCCTCTGACAATCAAGAAATGCTAGGAAATTTAATCCGACGAAGGACCTCCCCAAGGAAAGAACGTTTTTCTCAACGAAATGAGGAGCAGAAATGAATCCAAACTCGATTCGAAGCTAATTTCTTCTCCTTTGCTCCAAATATTCCACCAAACCCAACACCACAGAAAACTCTCTCTCTCTCTCTCCGTGAAGAAAAAGGAAAAAATCGTGTTTGGAGGGAAGGAAAAAGAAAATAAAAGTCGTGGCAACGAAACGAACACAGAGATTTTTTGAAACCCTAGCCCCTCTCCCTCTCTTGCTTCCCCGGTCTTATGAATTTTGTATTTATTTCTTTTATTTAAAAATAAATAAATATTGTTTGTTGCTATATTAATCGTCAAGGCTTTTTCATGGAGGTTCGTGCCAATGGCCACTGAGGATATTTGTGGTAAAATCGAGGAGGAGGAGGAAGAGGAATGGACGGTCCAGATGAGTTTAGAAATGAGATGGACGGCTGATATCTCCTGTTCGCTGAGGTGTCTTTACCTGGGGAATGTACATGTCAGCATATCTGGATAATTATTATTTATCTATTTTTTTTTTCCGCCAAATATGTAATATATGTATTTGTAATATTTATTAATGTTCCGATAATGTGTGACTAGTACAACATTAATATAGAAGGGCGTTTTTAATTTTGTAATGTGTGGGGGGTTTGTGGTTTTAGAATTCAAAGGCTTCTTTTTTTGGTATGAAAATTGAAAATGAAAGTAATGGTATTAGATGAATACAATGGGCTGGAAGATCTTTTATTGGACTGTGGACGTTGAAAATACTAGGAAGTCAAAACGGCTCAATTACAAACTTTTATATATATAGATTTTTCTCATACCATATATATAAATGTAAATATTAAATGAATGTTACAATTTAGATTAAAAAAAGGAAATAAATAACGCGCCAGGTAGGGGTCGAACCTACGACCTTCTGCTTAGGAAACAGACGCTCTATCCACTGAGCTACAGGCGCTTTGCATTTAATTTCATTTAAACACTTATTAGATTTAACTTAAATTCTCATTCCCGCCCAATATTCTCCGTTTCGATTTTACCTCTGAACAGAGAGAGAGAGAGAGAGAGAGAGAGAGGAGAGATGGAGGAAGAGATGAAGAAGCTGACCAAGAGCTTGGGAGGATTCTGCAACCATCTTCAAAGCAGCTGCGAAGCTTTTAGCCATTCTCTCCAGCGTCGTCCCATCCCTCTCGGTTCTTTCTCCGTTTCCCCCTCTTTTTTACTACTCATAAAACCCTAGATTTTCGTTTGCCTTCTTCAGTTAATCCACTCAATCTCGAATTTGGTTGCAGATTCGGCTTCTTCCACTTTCATTCAGGGCCTTAATCGTCGCCTTTCCGTGGCCGGAACCGATCTCAATTTGCTTGAATCTATGTCCTTCGGCACCATCTCCTTTGAAGAGCTTTTGGGTCACTGCAATCAGATATTCAAAAAGAACCACGGCGATATTCTGGTTCTCCAGGACCGACTTACGAGCTTTGGTTATGTTCCTGGTACGATAATTGCCTTCTTGTGGGACTTGAAGTTGATATTTGCATCTACAAGTGAATCTCGGATTCAATGTTTTTAAGTTTTTTTTTTTTTTTTTTTTTTTTTCTCAAAAAAGTACTGTTTGTTGTTTCGCCACAGAAACTGAAACTGATGATGACGGGGACGTGGGATCTGACTTGGGCGCTTCTCATCCTGTCGATGTGGAGAATTGGGATGAGGATTTGGACCCGCCTTCACACCCGCATTCAATCATAAAGGGATTAGAGGAGGACTCTCTGTATCCATTCTCTTGGCAACTTCCTCCAAAAAGAGAACTTTTTTTCTTCGTTCTTCATTGGTTTTGGAGTTTAGTTTAGTGCTGTAAAGAACTGTGGATTATTTGGTGCTTGCCTTAACGGATAAGGGGGAAAAAAAGAAAATCTTGCAAAATTTTGTCCTGAAGAAATCTCAAAATACTAGGATCTTATTATGATCAAGAGTCTTAGTCGAGGTACCATGTTGGTCTATTGGATTCTGTCTTTTCCTTAATGTTATCCAAGTTTAGATGAATCCCTGAGCTTGAAGAACCTTGGGCTTTCAGATGCTTGTCTTGCTACTTTAGCATCTGTAGGTAAGTGAGCAGCATTTTTGGCCACCAGCGGTTGATGAATTTGATTTATTGTCATTGCTTAGATTGCACTGTATCTTCTTCCTAATCTGTTCTAAGGTCTTAAGTTTTTTATGTTCGTTACTGTCCCCAGCTAATGATGTGATAAAGGAGCCTGACATTGTGCAAATACCAGTGAAGTAAGCTTCCATCTTAGAAATCGTGAGAAATTATGGTTTTCACTTGGTTCACTTCATGCCTTCTGTAAGCTTTCCTACTTTTTAGGGGCAAACCATTTGACACAAGAGAATCAATGCAAAGCGTTCCAGAGACTTCAGAGCTTTCTGATGGTCAGTTCTGAAGCCTTGCTAGTTTTCTATGTCGGTCAATCCTTTCGTTTATCTCAGATATATGATGGTGTGTGCTACTTTTGACCTACAGAAAAGGTACAGACAAAAACAGAGACGGGCAGGACTCCGGGGCAAATGATAGCAGTATCAAAGGAAGAGTATGAAAATCTTCCCCCTTACATGAAATGCCTAGCAGCATGGGAGGTATGTAGAATCGTAGATCATAAAAAATTTGCTGATAGACTCGAGCTTTGGTTTCTTCTCGATTAGCGTCATGGTATTATCTTTTCTATGAACTGGAGATTCCTGAACGAATTCTGGTTGGAGAGTGAAAAAAATTGTACTGCCCCTTGGAACTTCTGCCGAGTATTTGGCCAGCTTGATTTGTTAAGATTTTCTTACAATGCATAATGCCAAGTCATCAAATTCATTGTGACTGCAAAAAGGGAGCCTAGCAACTGCAATTTTTAGACCCAGCTTGCAATTCAATAGTTTCCGTCCTTAAAATTTTTAGCTCCGCAAAAGGAAAGAAATTAGCTTACAATACCTTTGTTATAATGTTTCTTCTTCTTTTTTCTACTTTCCTGTTCATAATTATGTCAAAGGCCATCTATTTCTTTGTATATGAGGAAGGTTATGTGATTTGATCAGATAGGATTATTCTGATGAAAATTTGCTTCCTAAACCTTCAATATATGTCGCTGCTCTTCATTTGTGAATGGATTTCTTTTTGTTTATTTGCAGTTTACGTTCTCACAGTTGATTCACTAAATGAATAAAGCATCTTCATGCTCTGATTTTTGTTTTATATTTTGACGCTGTCATCATTTAGGAAACACGTTTATGGTACAATTGAATCTAATGCTTAGTGTCCGGTTGTGTTCATCTTTTTTCGATTCCACAAATTTGTTTACCATCTGGTTGTGTTCCAGGATTTGCTCTGTGCTGTGGAGAAAATGAACTCAGCCCTCGGCACAAAAGAGAAAACTAGGGGATGTTACTACTTCCGTGGGGATGAGATTCAGACCATAGGCCTCGGTATGTTTAGGCGTTGTTTCTTGTTGTAATTTTATAAAAAATGCAACATAACCAAGTGCAGAAATTTCGTGACGCTTGTTGCAGGGAACAAGGAGAAAGCATACATGCTGATGCTTATGCGGATGAACAGGTTGGTCGTGGAAACCACTGACGGCATCATATCTTACCGAGTTGTATAGCCAATTGGATGCAATCTTCTTCTTGGAATTCTGTTAAATTATACAGAAACTTTTCAAAGAAACCCCTTTGGATCCGACATGATGAAACAAAAGATCCATTCAAGATCGAGCAACTTGGTATTTGGCTCTCAATCTTGGTTGTCTTCTTCAAGCTAAGTGAAGGGTTCTCTCTCTGTTACCTGAGGGAGTGGACAAGTTTCTTTTGTTTTTCATCGGTTTGTTTGTTTTTGGTTTGGTCTTCGATTTGATTAATTGGTTTGTATTAGGGATTTTCGATTTGGGAATGAACTAATGTTGGGTTTCTTTCGATTCAGGATTTGCTTTCTATTAAGAAAAACATTTACAATAAATTTTTCGTTTCTAAAAACAAATTCAATTTATTTAAAACATGTTACAAGATTTTCTAAAAACAGGGTTTTTAAAAATTCAAATTCTAAACTTTATAAAGTTAAAAAAAATATTCTTTTTCATTTTTTTTCATCTCATCTGGATTCTCAACTTTTCTCGGTGGATGGATATCTGCAAATATTGAAACTCTCATATGATCTTTAAATATCCAAAGATCGAGTGTCCGATCATGGTGAAGACGACACCGATATATTTAAAGAAGGCGAAACCAAAATGGGATACAAATAAAATTTTAGGAATCTATGTTTCCAACCTTATATCATTAAGAATCCTATTGTTTTTGTTTTGTAACTTCACTAGACATTTGGACGAGTTAATCGTGTGGATCTGAAGTTAATCTTGTTGGATTTGGGTTTATTTGAAAGAATCAAAACGGGCCTACCCCGTGAGAAGCCCGGTCCGTATAAAGTTTTAGAAACTTTAAATCTGCAGAATATTAAGAGAATATTCTTGTTTGAATTTGAAATTCAAATTCAAATTCAAATTGGATTCAAATCCGCAGAAAATCTATCAAATATGATTAAGATAAGATTGAGATAATATCAAATTTGAATTTTGAAATTCAAATTGATTTATTTTGAGATTCTCCCCTCTAGAGAAAAACACACAGAAAAGAAACAAACATTCTAGAGAAAAAAGAGCATTCACATATTTGCTCATATCCCTCTCTGAGTTCGCTTGGTATTTGGAAAGCTTCTTCCAAATACGCGGTCGTTGTATCCTGGGAGTTCACCGTGCTCCAATAGCCTCGAAGCTTTAGAGGTAGCACGGAAATCGAACGAAACTGTGTTTCACAGGCCTCGACAAAATATTCTTTTAATTTCAGGTACTTATCTGGAATCGTTCGAATTGCCGGAGTTTTGCTGTCGTCAACAAGCGCCGTCCCCAACAAATCTTTAGTCACACAACTAATTGTATCCCTCCTCTCTACATTGTGAAACCGAACTAGAGACCTTGTGGACAATCGGACAAGTTACACCCAAATCACTCCTTACACATTTCTCACACACGATAACCACTAAACCACAATAAAATGGGTGACAAGATGAATTCATTTCTTCTGAGGCAATTGAATAAAAAATCCGCAACAATAGCTTAGAGATTGTGTTTTTTGAAAATTGCATTTGAGTGTTTGGCTCCTTTTGCTGCTATTCTTTATCAAAGCAATGTCTGACCATTTTTTTTTAGTTTCGGTTATACGGTCACGATTTTAAAAAACTATAACCGGTTGTAATGTCAATAAGGTTTCGGTTCGATTATAACTCTAAAATTTTAGAACCGTAACAAAAGTTTGGATTGACTCTGTTCAATTCATTGTAAATATAAAAATATTATAGTCGAATTAAATTTAATTTGGTTTGAATAATGAAAAAATAAATGAGAGATAGAATCAAATATGCAACAGTAGATTAGATCGTTTTCTTCAGAAGTTGAAATCTGCACGGGCGTAGAAAATTATGTAGCAAATATTGAACGATTAAAACAAATCAATATGACCGCGTGATGCAATTTAAATGGCGAATATTAAATGTGATATGCAGTAATGTTATTGATATTTTTTTTATATAAAAATTATTTTATTTTGTATTTTTAATAAAACTGATGTTGCTTCTATTGTTCGAAATCCTATGTAAATTTTGAATGCATATTCACGTTGAAATCTTCTCTTTACTCACCCACCTCGTGGTGGTCGAGTGGCAAGGCCGTACAGGAGACTGGGTCTCTTTGAGATCGTAGGCCGCGGGACGTGGCCGGTTCGACTCCGCAGGCAGGAAGGGAGGTCTAACGCTTTCAACGGACAAAGGTTGATTCCGCATCTAAAATAGATATAATTGGACCGAAGATCCATATGAACCATCCTTATTAGAAAAAAAAAAAATCTTCTCTTTACTCATATGAACTTTTACGATCATTTTGAATCTTGATATCTATTTTAGATTAAAAAACAAATACGAGTTACCAAATTATATTTTCAATGCAAATATGAAATATCGAATCGGATTAAATAAAAAAAATATGAAAATTCTATTTGTATTAGAAAAACAAATGTTGGAAAATTAAATTAATTTATTATCCAATTTTATTCATCTAATGGAATATTAATATTAATATGATATAGTTAAAAAAAACCCAAACTACTAGAAGAAAGGAATCGTTCAAAGTCAAATCCACACGTATCAATTCAAAGTACAACAAACAAAAGTGAGTTCTAGAACTGGTTTGGGTTTTTTTTTTCTAATAAATGTGGCATTTTTTTTATATCAAAATTACACATTTTTTTTTCTTCATTTTTATGAGAATAAGTGCAGACTCTATTGTATCAAATTTTCAATTAATTATATTCCTTTTGATTTATTTTCATTTGAGTTTTTATTTGGGTTTACAGTTGAGTGAATTCAATTTTATATTTAATTTTCATTGAAAATATTTATTAAAAAGATATTTTATTATTTGTTGAAACTTCAATTCTATTAATTTAAACTTAAAAATTATAATCAATTCGTTTTTAAATCAGATACTCGGTTCGTATATACATTATTTAATCAAAATATGCTTTCTGACTATATAGAAATTACATTACTCTTAATTCACTAATCCCTTTATAATTAGGAAGTAGATTTAGTTTGAACTTTTTACTTTTACCGACAAAATACAATTTTATCGGATAAAAATTGAAAACCCCAATTTCTCATTATTTCCTCTCTAGTTGTTTTCTAGCTTTGCCTTCTTCTTCCTCTTCCTCCTCTCCCTCTGATTTTCTCTGTTCCTCGGTCTCTCGATCCGTCCATCGAATCTCTCTCCGACCAATGACTATGATGACTCCTCCGCCGCTCGATGTAAATCTGGATTCATCTTCGTGTTGTGTTGTGTTTTATGTTTTTCGATGTTTCTCTTTCGTATTCACTTGAATCTGATTTTGATTGTATGTTCGGTCTCGTCTAAGCTTATCCACTAGGGTTCACCTTCTTCGGATTTTGTTTTTGTTGTGGTTTTTTCTTTAAATCATCGACACTACTGCGGTTTTTTTTTTGTGTTCGTGATTGTGGTTCATGTTGAGTATGATCCCGAGGCAGCGATATTAGGGTTTCTTATCCCATGGTCAGAAGTCTGATTTCTGCGGGTTTCTGTTTGGATTTCGCAGCAAGAGGACGAGGAGATGCTCGTGCCGCATTCTGATGTGGTCGAGGGCCCTCAACCCATGGAAGGTGAAACTCTCGGTTTGATCGAATTTGACCTTCTGATTAGATTCTCATGTTCCTTTGATTTTGATTGGATGAATTTGATGCGATAGAGCTTGTGGGTATTGAATTGTAATTGTAGTGCCCATAGTGTAGGATTGATGGTTCACTTTGCTAGGGTTTTGTGATTTTTGGGATGTTGATCTTTTTATCAAGTGTTGATGCATTTGTAGTTGCCCAACCTGCTGAGCCGGCGAGCACTGTGGAGAACCAACCCGTCGAGGACCCTCCCACTCTGAAATTCACCTGGACTATCGCGAATTTCTCGAGGTTGAACACCAGGAAGCATTACTCTGACATATTTATCGTCGGAGGTTACAAATGGTAATTGGATAATCAGTTGTGATGCACTTTCTCGTCGCAATCTAATATTTGCATTTTGATTGATTGTGGCAACACACGTTTCTCTGTTTCTTGCAGGCGAATATTAATTTTTCCAAAAGGAAACAATGTTGACCATTTGTCCATGTACTTGGATGTTGCTGATTCTACAACTTTGCCGTATGGGTGGAGCAGATATGCACAATTCAGCCTGGCTGTAGCGAATCAAATCCATAACAAATATTCTATTAGAAAGGGTACTTCCGCTTGTTTAATTGCCGTTTATTTAGACACATATCTGAATGTATACTTTGAATTTAGAGAGTTCAAATATCAGTCTTGAAGAAATACTCACCGGAAGATCTTCTAAGGGAATTGGTCTATTGCTTTTTGATCATTGGCTGTTCTCACTGAATCTTTACCTTGGAATTCGGATGATTTAGATGCAAGTCGCCTTGTATGGATGAATCTTCAATTGTTATTGACATTCCACTTTTGTTTATGCTTCCATAGAGACTCAACATCAATTCAATGCAAGAGAAAGCGATTGGGGGTTTACGTCATTCATGCCTCTCAGCGAACTCTATGACCCTAGTAGAGGATATTTAGTGAATGATACTGTTGTGGTTGAAGCTGAAGTTGCTGTACGTAAGGTTCTTGATTACTGGTCATACGACTCAAAAAAGGAGACTGGTTTTGTCGGACTTAAGAACCAAGGTGCAACCTGTTACATGAATTCTCTCCTACAGACACTGTACCATATACCTTATTTCAGAAAGGTTGGACTGCATTTCATGTCATCCACACTGCTGAATAATTGTACCGCTCCCAACTGATTTCTGAATAAAGATCTGATCTGAGCTATGTTTTAGGCTGTCTACCACATGCCGACGACTGAGAATGATTTGCCCACAGCAAGTATCCCGTTGGCTCTTCAAAGTTTGTTTTACAAACTTCAATATAACGACACTAGTGTTGCCACAAAGGAACTGACAAAGTCGTTTGGTTGGGATACATATGATTCTTTCATGCAACACGATGTCCAAGAACTCAACCGAGTTCTATGTGAAAAGCTTGAGGACAAAATGAAGGTAATTTGTGTTTTGCTGTCGTTCTTTGCTTCTCTGATGGTGTTATGTTATTTTGATATTTCTCCTTTTTTTCTTTTTTTAGGGAACAGTTGTGGAGGGAACAATACAACAGTTATTTGAGGGTCATCATATGAATTACATTGAGTGCATAAATGTAGATTACAAATCCACACGAAAAGAATCGTTTTACGGTAATTTATTATAAATAATCCACCATATTTGTTAACCTATTTTGTGAAGCCAGTTAATATATGCACTTCTCCCATGACAGATCTCCAGCTTGATGTTAAAGGGTGCAAGGATGTTTATGCTTCTTTTGACAAGTATGTCGAAGTTGAACGCCTTGAAGGAGACAACAAATACCATGCAGAAGGACATGGTTTGCAGGTTGGCTGTTCTATGCCTTTCCTTCGTGTAACATTTTCTTGTGGAATTAAGTAACTTGCAATGTTTCGGTTTTGGTATCTATATCCTGCAATATTGTTTGGTCTTCTATTTTCTGCATACCATTTAGTGGGGAAAGTTTTCATATTGTGTGGAACTGTTTCCTATCTTAAGAAGTTTCTCCAATCATTATTTTTTTTAAAGCTAATGCAGTTGTATTTGACTTGCTGTAATAATTAATGTGAGAATGTAATTGACTTATCTAGTCTTATCATGGAGGAACTCTATGTTTATTGTTTCAGGACGCCAAGAAAGGTGTTCTATTTATAGATTTTCCACCAGTTCTTCAACTTCAGTTGAAGAGGTTTGAATATGATTTTATGAGGGACACCATGGTGAAGGTTAGTATTTAAAGTTCCAGGTACCAAGAAAGGAGTGGCCATGTTACTGTATGTTTATACTTTCAGTTTTTGTGATGGTGACCTGATTCAAAGATCTTTCTTTTTCTTTTTCATTTTTGGTTTGAATGAATATTAGCCTGTGAGTGCTGATGCATCCTTTATTTATCTAGATAAATGATCGATATGAATTTCCTCTTCAACTGGATCTTGATAGAGAGAACAGAAAGTATTTATCCCCTGAAGCAGACAGGAGTGTCCGCAATCTGTACACACTTCATAGGTAAATTTGTCTTTGTACTTAATTTCTACTGACTTCACATTTAGATAATAACCTCTTCTGATTTTACATTTAGATGTAGCAATGTCCAGTGGAGTTTGCATTAAAGGTTTCACTTCTCTATACAATTCTACTGTTGGATATATATTAATATATTTAGGCTGTCTTCCTTCAAAATTTAGTTCCAGGCACGTTTCATTGTTTACTAGGTTCCTCGTCTAAAGGAATAGTCCACCTGTTGTTTAGTTGTCTTACTGTACTTAAATAGTTAAGTCTCATGTATGTGCCTTTATATCAATGGCGGCAGTCATGCAGCTCGTATACGAGTGAAAGGCAAAGTAATGGTTTTCATTTAGTTGTTTCTCATATGCCCGGTTTACCTTCTCACTTTTCTGCAGTGTCTTAGTTCCAGGCACGTTTCATTGTTTACTAGGTTCCTCGTTAAAGGAATATTCAACCTGTTGTTTAGTTGTCTTACTGTACTTAAATAGTTAGTAGCATGTATGTGCCTTTATATCAATGGCGGCAGTCATGCAGCTCATTTATGAGTGAAAGGCATAAGAAAGTAAATGGTTTTCATTTAGTTGTTTGTTTCTCATTTTTCTGGTTTACCTTCTCACTTTTCTGCAGTGTCTTAGTCCATAGTGGAGGAGTGCATGGTGGTCACTATTATGCCTTTATAAGGCCAACACTCTCTGATCAGTGGTACGCAACTTTCTGTTCTGCTGTCAAGAACCTTTCACTGCTCTGCTGTCAAAAACCTTACATGTCTTGTATGCTTGATATTATACTTTGTCTTGCTTTTAGTTATTTTATCTGTCTCTCTGTCTGCTTGATCTTCATGTTCTCATAGGACCTTTCTGCTTTCGCTCAATCCGCTACACTGTGCAGGTATAAATTTGATGATGAGCGAGTAACCAAGGAAGATATGAAAAGGGCCTTGGAGGAGCAGTATGGTGGTGAGGAAGAGGTAGGATTCTCTCGCTAGTTTTTCTATGTTTTACCTGCTGTGCTCGTTCTTAAATCTCCTGACATCCTTTCTTCTTTGATTTCCCTTCAGTTGCCACAAACTAATCCTGGTTTCAATAACCCTCCTTTCAAATTCACGAAGTACTCGAATGCATACATGCTTGTATATATTCGTGAAAGTGATAAAGATAAAATAATTTGCAACGTCGATGAGAAGGACATTGCGGAACATCTAAGGGTAAAAATGTTCTTTCTGTCATCTGTTTGCCTTAATTATGCATGTTTGTCATTGCACCTTACCCAATTCAGTATGTAATGACAGGTGAGGCTGAAGAAAGAACAACAAGAAAAGGAAGATAAGAGAAGATACAAGGCACAGGCACACCTTTTCACCATAATTAAGGTTTGCTTCTACTATTAAATTGTTTTCTGCTGTAGAGCACTGATGTATCTCTGAGAAAGTCATTGCTCTCTTCTCTCTCTCTCTAGACCATTACTTATGCATTTTATGACTGTATTATAAAGGTTGCTAGAGATGAAGACCTTACTGAACAAATTGGGAAGGATACATATTTTGATCTTGTTGATCATGACAAAGTTCGCAATTTCCGAATCCAGAAACAGACACCCTTTCAACAGTTTAAGGTACTTGCCAGAATATTTTCTTTCTCTTTACTGCTTAACTTGGCTTTCATCTGTTGAAGAAAACATTGCTTCTTCTGTGGGAAATGTGTTTTACAAAGAAGTTACTTTCTGGTAGCTTAAATCTACTCTGAAGCAAAGTTGACCAAGGATCTTGAATCTTCTTTCGGAGATCTCTGCTTTCTTTCAGAAACTTGTTTACTTTTAAGTATTTCAGCTTTACTGAGAACAACTCCACGTACAATAGATTAACAGAGAAAATATCTTTCACGGTCATGATTTGTTCTGCTATGTTGTTTGTGTATGTAATATTGCGCTATTGTACTTATTGATCCCCGTTGATTTTAACGAAATTGTGTGGAAGAAATTAATTGGTCTAAGTTTTTTGTTGGTGTTATTCCTGGTGATATCATATTTCTTGATCCATAAGCCTAAAAAGGGCATTTTCCAAAATTTTGTGGAAAAAAATTAATTGTGACAAGTTGACTGGGCTCATTTTTAAGGTGATTCTTATAAAAGATCCTTTAATTAGAGTGACAAAAATCAGAGATAATTATTTGCATTTTCCCTGAATTTCTGTACCTTGCTGCAAATGCATTTCTTTCAACATAGTTGTCCTTAATGTCTGAATTCTGATACTGACTTGTGTGGAGTTTTAGCTGCTCACTGTTTCTACTTGTAAATATATTGTTGCTATAGTAATAGTCCCTTGTACTTCAGCCGGTTGTATTCTTTAAAGAAACCCATTTGTTGACCTCCAATTTTCTACTGGACTATAGGAAGAGGTTGCCAAAGAGTTTGGTGTCCCAGTTCAGTATCAGCGTTTCTGGATCTGGGCAAAGCGGCAAAACCATACTTATCGTCCCAATCGACCCCTAACGCCTCAGGAGGAATTACAGCCGGTAGTTTATTCCTGCTCACTCATTTTAGTACCTATGGTTTACAGCTTTCTTCGTCAAATACTTTTTTGTTCGAATTTGGATTACAGGAAAGAATATTCAACCATGTTTATAACCTAATCATTTGCTACCTTCTTTATTCTGTCGGGGGTCTGTCTCTATTATGCAGTATTAATTTTGGGGAAATTTTGGGGTCCTTTATTTCACCATCCTTTTAGAGCTCTCGTGCTTTTAGAGCTTTCATTCTTGGAGAGCTCTCGTGCTTATGTTTTCTGTTTGTTACCAAGTGGAACCCTGTGCAATGGCTAACTATAGTGGTTGACGTTTTACTTATATATAAGAGGAGTCTCCGCCTATAATTCTTTATGCATAAACCAATTCTGCCTTATTTCAGATGTGTTTATTCGGACTACTTTATTTAAAATATGTTTATAGGTTGGACAAATAAGAGAGGCATCAAACAAGGCAAACAATGCAGAACTGAAGCTGTTTCTGGAAGTAGAGCGTGGGCCGGTAAGAATACCTTGTTCCAAAGTTTATTTTCTGCGGTCTTGTATGACTGAATGGGAAACTGAATAGACTGATCAACTGGGAAGAAAAGCTAAAAGTTTTCTCTCGAATATTCAGGATTTGCGTCCTATTCCTCCTCCAGACAAGTCCAAAGATGATATTCTTCTTTTCTTTAAGCTTTATGATCCTGAAAAGGCAGAAATAAGGTAATATGCGTTTTCACCTTTTTGTTTTTTCTTCTCTTCCTCCTCTTGAATTGCCCACTACAAGTCTAATAAATTAATAATCCCCTAAATGAAATGAAATCTTTCTTTCCTCTTCTTTTCAAGCGGAAAAGTTCTCAAATGCATTTTCCCCTTTTCTTTCCATTTCTCCATTCTGTTTTCAATTTGATCTACTAGACTTCTTTTCCTTCTTGAGTGTTTCATAACATTTTCTTCTTTGTGTTACCAGATATGTTGGCCGACTCATGGTGAAAAGTTCCAGCAAGCCTATGGATATTATTGAAAAACTGAATGAAATGGCTGGCTTTGCTCCTGATCAAGAAATAGAACTTTTTGAGGTTTCCTTCGCCTGCCTTGTCTCCAGCTTTTCTGTCATGCTTATGGATGTCCAATATTTAATTTAGTGCTTTTTTGGGCTGATTTCAGGAAATAAAGTTCGAACCTTGTGTAATGTGTGAACATCTGGATAAGAAGACTTCGTTCAGATTGTGCCAAGTAATGGTTTAATTGTAGTATTTGCTGAAATGCTTCAGTCCGGTTTCAGTCTCATGACATGGTTTTATTGCCTGTAGATTGAAGATGGAGATATCATTTGTTATCAGAAAGCTCTGACTAACAAAGATAGTGAATGCCAATACCCTGACGTGCCTTCATTTTTGGAGTATGTCCAAAATCGACAGGTATATTCTGCATAGCATTGTTAGTAATAGTTAATCTTGCTAGATTATCTTGTTAGAATGATGTTAAAAGTCTTGAGTTGTGTTTGTTAGGAGTTCTTCCAAATCTTGCTAGAGTTATGGTAGACGTTGAATTATGACAGTTAGATTTCTGTCAAGTTGCAATTATGTATTTACAAATGTAGGCCAGACTACTAGAACGACCACACATGCAGTCTCCAAACTTCCATGACCTATCGTAATTTGGTGTAAAAGTTCCTTTTCTCCATCGCATTTGGAGGGACATGTTTTCCAATAACTTCTTTCTACTGTTTGTGTGGGTGACTATTACCCGTATATCACATCAAGTCTACATATCTGCTTCATCTGATGATATATATTCTTCAGTGTCTCTTTCCTTCCATTATATTAAAATGATATAAATCCACCAAATTCTCTTTCTTTCCTCTGTGGCATCAGAATTGTTCATATATCTGTGCGGGCCTACTTTAGTTTGACCCATCAGTGATTCAGTGTAGCTGTCATATTTGTGTTCTATGTGACCTCTGGCTTATGCCTTATCCTTCTACTGCTTTCTCTCTTCTACCTTCTGCCTACTATCTTTGTAGAAGAGGTGGCACTTGTGTACCCTTCAGCCCTTTGTCAGAAGAATTAGGAGCATAGCTATGCTTATTACGATTATGCGCAATTTGCAAATAAGTATGTCGTGGGTTAAGTATGATAGTAGGAGGATCCATGTATATCTGATGTAGCTTGTATTTTCATGTCATAGTTTGGAAGGAAAGTAATCTAATTTTCTATATATCGTTGGGTTTGTGGAAATCTTCTTTAGCATTATGTTAAAAAAATAAAATATAGTATGAAATTAGACATATGTTTTTCAAAACCTTTTATATTTTTTCCTTAACAATGGAGGAACTAGTCTGGTTTAAGAAATGCACAAACATTCTGCAACTTAGCTGTAAACGCTGTATAGTGCTGAATATTTTTCTAATTGTTGGCTGCCATGGTTCTGTTTGGCGCTATTGAGTAATGTGGTTTTTTATTTTGTAGCTGGTTCGATTCCGTTCTCTGGAAAAATCGAAAGAAGATGAGTTTGTTCTGGAGTTGTAAGTATCTCTGTTGACACTGCACTATCTGCATACAGAGCAGCCTTTCTTTTTTTTCCTCACTCATAATTCTTATTATTTTTAGGTCTAAGCTGCATACCTATGATGATGTTGTGGAAAGATTGGCTCATAAGCTTGGTTTGGATGATTCATCCAAAATTAGACTTACATCTCACAATTGCTACTCCCAGCAACCCAAGCCTCAGCCTATAAAGTACCGTGGAGTAGAACATTTATCTGATATGTTAGTCCATTACAATCAGGTAACTGATGTGAATTTGAGAGAACTCAATTGATTCTTCGGCACAATGTTTGATACAGGTTTCCTATTAAAGGGTGTTTCTTGTTTTCTGCAGACATCTGATATTTTGTATTATGAAGTTCTGGATATTCCTCTTCCAGAATTGCAAGGACTTAAGACTCTAAAAGTTGCTTTCCACCATGCCACAAACGATGAAGTATGTATTGATACTGTCACTGTGATATGTGTCCCTCTTTTATGCATTGTTTTTACAGCTGAGCTTCCCCCTGCCAAATTTGCAGGTGGTTATCCATAATATCAGACTACCTAAACAAAGCACCGTTGGAGACGTTATAAATGAACTTAAGTCAAAGGTGAGCTCTCTTGCAGTTTTCTCTGTTACCGTTACTTCCTTAGTCTCTCACATAGGTGGTTCTGCCTTTCAAATTATAATATAAACTCTGCTCTCTGTCCTGTCTTTCTGTAAAACTGGGAGGACTACTGGAGATTGATATTGTGCTGTCTAAGTCACACGAGATGCATACAGATTACTGGCTCTACTCTGTTAGCGACATATGCATGTTTGTTTCCAAGGAAGCTTCTTTTCAAAGCTTGGAAGGGTTCAAGTTTTGTTGGCTAAATTGCCTAGTGTATAGTTTGCAAGTTTATACGAAGTTTACACTTGTGAAACAGGTGGAGCTTTCTCATCCAGATGCAGAACTCAGGTTGCTTGAGGTGTTTTACCACAAAATCTATAAGGTAACAAGCTAACTTGATTCGCTTTCTTACGTACATTGTAGTTTCTGCTTCCCTTCATTATTCTGAGAGTGTAGCTCATTAGCTACCAAGCTCTGTGTGGTGAAAATGTTGTAACACTGGAATTTAGCTAATTTTAACTCAAATTTTCTGTATATATATATGGCCTTGCAGATCTTTCCAACGACTGAAAGAATTGAGAATATCAATGACCAGTACTGGACTTTGCGGGCTGAGGAGGTAATGTCATCAGGCTAAACTCACACTCTTCCTTACTTGCAACGTTGTAGCCTTTTTCTCTATCTTCATTGCTGTTCATCTTTTCTGGTCTGGTTCCTGGTTTTGTTTCATCTCCTTGTGAATAGTTGAATGCCGGTTGGTTTCGCTGAATGTTGGCTTATCCTGCTTTGCTGTTTTGTATTTTGCGCTTTTAGAAAGAAAAAAAATTGAAACGTGGTGATTATTCCACTGCACGAGCTAAACAATTGCATATATGCAGATTCAAAATACTGTTGTAGTGTTAAGAATGTATTTTAGTTAAGTAATTTAAATGGATGCATATTTTGGCTAATTATGACTCTAATTATTCAGAGATACTTACATCTTATGTTTCCCACAACCTTAGGTTCCTGAAGAAGAGAAGAATATCGGTCTCAACGCTCGCTTAATCCATGTCTACCACTTCACTAAAGAATCGGGGCAAAATCAGATGGTAATGAATTATCAAGCTTAAAAGTTTGTATGAATTCACAGAAATTGCTTGTTTTACAGTCTTTCTAATCGGAATATCCTAATTGGTGATTTGTGTTTTGTGTTTTTGTTCGGCAGCAAGTACAAAATTTTGGTGAACCCTTCTTCTTGGTAATCCACGAAGGTGAAACTTTAGAAGAAATCAAGACCCGTATCCAAAAGAAGCTGCATGTTCCCGATGAGGACTTTGCCAAGGTATCTGTGTCTTTTAATTATCCAGGCCTTGTTCATGTCTATAAAGATTCCAAGGTTAATAAATTGGCTAATTGCTTTCAATGGAATTAAGTTTATCACTGATACATGCTTTCTTTATCCAGTGGAAATTTGCTTTTATGTCGATGGGACGACCCGAGTACTTGCAGGACACAGATGTGGTCTATAATCGCTTTCAGGTTATATCACTTGCTTCTTATCCTCTATACTCAGGCGAAAAAAGCTTTTTGTGCTAGTTTGTGTTGTCATGAGGATTTCGGTTTTCGGCTTTTGGTTCTGGTTCAGTTTTTCGAGGTTTTATATTAGATTCGGTTCGGATTTGGTTCTATTGACAAAAATGTTTGTTTTTCAAAGAAATTTTTGGATTTTTTTTGGTTATCTTTATATTCTGTTCACGTTCAGTTTTAGCAAATATATTGGATTCGGTTTGGTTTGGTTTTGCATAAACAAACCGAAATGCTTTATTGGTTTGGTTAAAATGATGTTGACAGAGAAGAGAAGTATACGGTGCATGGGAGCAGTACCTTGGGTTGGAGCACTCTGACAATGCTCCTAAGAGGGCTTATGCCGTGAACCAGGTCAGAAATCCATCCTCTTTTTTTCTTTTACTGAATTCCGATTCTAGAAAACAAGTACAGTTATTATTAACAGTGTTCCTATACCCCTTGTAGAACCGACACACGTATGAGAAGCCGGTGAAAATATACAATTAGAGAACCGATCACCCGATAATACACGCTGCGCTATCGGTACATACCCAACGATGAGGCCATCTATAGAAGGAAGAACCCGGAGAGAGGGGTGGGGGGTATTTGATGTGAGTGTTTGTGATGGCTTTAGGGTCTAGAGGATTTGATTCGATACACAGATAATATCCGGTGGCAGTTGGGTTTTTTCTTCTTCGTTTTGTTTTCGGTTTTCCTCTGAAGAAGTTGTGTGCTTTATTTATTTTGCTTTTTTGTTGGTTGTCAATATGAAGATATGTGAGAATTAAGGACACTGAAAATCTCCATTTTCGGACGGAGGGAAAGCGTTGGTTGGCTTTCCGGTTTGTAGATACCCGGACGTTGTAATTTAGCGGTTGGAGGAGGAGGGAGAGAGGGCGAGAACTTGTTGGGGGATCTCTGTATTTGCAGGTATAGTTTGGTCTCTTTTGCAAGTTCCAATAATATTTATTTTTCAAGCTCCTCTCTCTCTCTTCCATGGTAATTAGGGTTTTTTCCAGTGTTTTTTGTGCTTTTGTTAATCTCTTTTGGTATTTTTTTTTCCCTAGGGGGGGAGTATTTTGTGTTTTGGTTCAAGTTCGGTTTGTCTATTTTCAGATTCAAGTTCTTCGGTTTTATAAAAAAATTATGGATATTCAGGTTTTATATTGGAATTTATTCGTTTTGTTATTTGGTTTTGTTATGAAAATATTTAACTTCAAAAAAGTTAGTTTTCTCCATTATTTTTTATATTCTATCCAAATTTTTTTTTTCGATTTTAGAAAAATAATTAAAATTTAATTTCAATACCGATTTCGGTTTGAGTATAATTATATATTATATTGATTCCGTTCTGCATAACTTAAAATGTCGATCCTTTTTGTATTTGCGTTTAGTCAGGTTCAAAGATTCGGTAGATTGGTAATAATATAACCATCTTTTCTTTTCCTTTTATTATTGCTTTTGTTGTCAGTGGTTTTTTTTTTGTTCTTCCAATTGGACGGGGTAATACGTGCCTGTTGAAAACAAAAAACCCGCAGGCATGTTAATGTAATATCTGCCGTCAGCCTTGAATTGTAACAATGTGCCGTTACATTCCACAGAGACTGGGTCAATGAGAATTTTTTCTTTTTCGTGAATCGGTTGTGGAATGGCAAAGATTTTGAATTTAATCAACGTTAAAGAGCTAATAAATGGGGCGAAGAAGAAAATAAAAGATTCCGAATTGTTTACAAAGTCCAAATAATAAAGTGCAAAGGCATAGGCATCGTTTGCTTCTGTAACCCGCACAAGGAGTCCTCGAGCCATTTGTCCTTCCAGTGCACGTTCACCGAACCTTCGGTCCGATTACATCTTCCACGGTTCGGGAGCAGTCTTTGAAATACATCTAAGGGTTTAGAGAACAACACCCTCAATGCACCCCTCCCTCCCCAACAGCTGGATTCGAACTGGTGACGGAGGTCCCAAAAACAACACCCTTTCAACCACTCGCACACTATTTACTGGGTACTACATGGAGCCTTGCCACTCGCACACTACTTACTGGGTACTACATGGAGCCTTGCGTCCACCAGGCGTTACTGTCATGGTTGTCGGGTAATTGGGATTATATACGTTTGGAAAAGGCGACCAACTTCTCTTCCACTCAATTTGAAAGCAGCGAAGTACAAGACTTCACAACCAAATTTTCCTCTGGCAGACGACGATGATTACAAAGTTGATTGCGATTCGCATCTCAGATGAACCTCTCGCAGGTTCGGACGTCTTGTCGTTATAGTTTTCGCACTTGTCCTTGATGCTTGTAGCCATCTGCGACGAAGTTTACTTCACTTTCGTCTTTTGCACAAAACCATACTTTTCACACGCGTTCTTAGAAAAGTGAAATACCTCCCTTTACCAAGAAAAAGAGAGGAATAAAACAAAAAAAAAAACATTTATTTTAAAAGGAACATTTAAAAAGTAAAAGAAACAATAAACACATAGCTTATTAAAAATAACGACGTTCTCGAATATGGAGAACAGAGAATGAAAATGAATAAACTGTTAGTTTCTGTAAATTACGATAGTTGTTATACACTATGCAAAAAAAAAACTTTCATGTTAGATACGGATAAATTTTGAAAGAATATTTATAGGAATTAGTTTATATAAAACGAAAAAAAAATGGAACCAAAAGTGGAACGTTAAAAAAGAGAAAAAAATATGAAAATAATTTAAAAAAGGAAGAATAAAAAACGAGTTTGTCGTTATTAATATCTCAATATTTCTATTCTATTTGTACAAAAATTATTTGCATACAGAAAATAGAAATATATACACATTTGATTACAACAGAAATCCAGAGTGATATAAATCATAGACTTATTTGAGCCAAAGCAATTGGAACTTATAATGGACTCTCAAATACATCTCTATAATGTTTTCTTCTTCTTCTTCCAGAAAAAGATTTGCAAATATCTCAAACGAAGTTTCACTTCTTCATAATAAAAAAAAAACATGTAAAGTATGTACCTTTATGAGGTTTGAAGCTCTTGGAAGAGGTACCATTGTTTGGTTGCATCAGATTGAGTTAACTTCATCGTCTTCGTCTACTTCCTCGCCATTACTGCTTCGACTTCTACCACTACTGCTACTGCTTTCGCTTTCGCTACTGCTTTCGCTGCTCGAGCTCGAGCTCGAGCTTCTTCCCTTCCTCTGCTCCTCGGCATTGGTATTTGATGTGAGTGTTTGTGATGGCTTTAGGGTCTAGAGGATTTGATTCGATACACAGATAATATCCGGTGGCAGTTGGGTTTTTTCTTCTTCGTTTTGTTTTCGGTTTTCCTCTGAAGAAGTTGTGTGCTTTATTTATTTTGCTTTTTTGTTGGTTGTCAATATGAAGATATGTGAGAATTAAGGACACTGAAAATCTCCATTTTCGGACGGAGGGAAAGCGTTGGTTGGCTTTCCGGTTTGTAGATACCCGGACGTGTCGTCGTCCATATCTGCAATCTCCTCTTCCACGTTCATCTCGTCATTCCCGTCACCCGCCTTGTCATTCTCTGGGGTAAGTGCCCCGAAAATATCGACCAGATCTATCTCCATATGCTCATCCCCGTCCTCGTTCTTTTCGCTGCCAGGTGAGACATTAGCAGACACGTTTCCTGCCTCTTCTGGGCCGACGGGTTCTTCTGCTGATGCGATCTCTTTTCCATTGGACTTTGGACCGATCTCGATTCTTTCAACCTCAACCGGCATGGGAGGATGCAAGCTTCGATCCAAATTTGAGGGCTTTGCCCCTCCCCGACCCACCACAGGAGATAATCGGGGATCCATGGATACCGATGAGGCGGATTCACCAGCCATTCTAAGATGCCGAAGCTGCTTCACAGCTCGATGCAGTCTCTCCAATCGGAATGTCTCCCCATCGAAAAAGAGCACTGCATCGTTCTCTTTGTAATCCTCACTGCTACCTTCGAATGTCACCTTTGGTTTTCCCGGTTGGTTGTTTTGGAATTCTACTGAAACTCTTTGATCCTTGTTCTTATGCAGTGTCCCTGATCTGTTCTTGTCGATTGAAGCAGGCTTGAATTCATCTGCATAAAAGATTGATGCTAAAATTCATTCTAGTTCTTCGTTTGACATTAATTCGCAATGTAATCAAACTAAAACTGATCCATCATCTGGAGGAAATCTCAGTTTCTTTCTACCTAATGCCTACGGATCATAAGAAACCATCGAACTAAACGGATCGATTACCTAAAAATTTTGCGAGAAATCTCAACTGTTCTCTCAATTAACATCCTATGTGAAAACGAGAGACCACATCGAACACGATTGAACGATTGAACGATTGAACGATCGAATCGATCGAAGGATAGAGAAATCGAGAATCGAAAGGAGATGAACAACTCACATCGCAGAGTGCAGAACTTGTTGGAGGAATCGTCCTTGAAAGAGGGACCCAGGACGAGATCGTACCAGCAATGTGGCATCGGTGCGGTTTTGGGCTCTTCTTTGGAGTTGTTCGACATATCTTCGGACGACGACGACGACGACGACGATCTCTACTGCTCTCTCTGCTCCTCCCTCCCTCCCTTAGGGTTTCTCTTTTGTTTTCTTTCCCCTTTTTATTTTCATGAATTCATTTAAATATTCATAATTTGAATTTAAAATCTATCATAAAAATAAATATGGACAAACTAAAAAAACATTCAATTACATTTATCCAAATAAATCTACTTTAAATCATCTTTTTATTTAATCAATTTGTACCTATATTACACAGATTATTATATTAATTCATTATTTTTTACAAAAAAATTAGAGTTATGATCTCGAACATCTAAATAAATTATAAATATTACGATATTTTAATAATTACAATAATCAACACAATCAATAACAATATTTAAAATTTATATTTCAAAATTATATCTAATATTTTCAGCACTATAACATTAATAAAAACTAAAACCTTAAATGGTGGGAATTTTTGGAGTTTTTAGAATCCAAAAACAAAAAAAAAACAACATTCAAGTTTTTACAAAATTACTTTTCCTAAAAACTTGGAAAGTCATTTTAGTGAAAAAATCAATGAAAAACCAAAAGCTACTTTTTTTGAGTTTTCAAATATTATGAAATCCAAAAGCCAAAAACCAAAAACTAAAAACCAAAAACTAAAGCCAAAAACCCAAAATAAAAATCACTACCATTCAAAGCCTAAATATTTATTTTTTAGATATAAAATTCAATTGAATAATACGATAAAACAAATTACCATTACCATTATATTTACCGTCATAAAATAAAACAAATGACAATTACTATTTCTATTTGACATTTTCCAAACCTTCAATATTATTTTTTTATAAAATATTTAGTGAATAAAATTTAATAGATTGTAAATTTTAGATGTAAATTAGAGACAAATCTAAAAATAACCTTCAACTTTCACACTTACATAAAAAAAAACCTTCTACTTAAAATTACTTATAAAAAACCATCAACTATTAATTTTGAATAAAAAAGATCATAAACTATATAAATTATTTAAAATCAATTTCTCATTTTAAATTTGTTATAAGAAATTATTAACTATCAATTTTAATAAAAATAATTATCACCTATCTAAATTACTCAAAAAAATATATTTTTATATTTATTATAAAAATCTATAAAATTTAAATAGAATATATATAGAAATAATTCTAAAAGTACAAGAAAAATATAATATTTTAATATTAAATAATTATATAAATATTATACACATCAATCTATATATAATAATATACAAATATTATACTTAAAATTGAGTATATTTTTTTATTGTAAATATTATATTTAAAATTGTATCTTATATTAATATTTTAGAGATTCTAGAGATTGTAAATTGTGTATATTTTATTATTTGTAAATATAAGAGATAATATATATATATATACATTCTAAAATAAAATAAAAATATGATAATTTTTACATGTAATATTGTAATTGAGTATATTTTATTTGCTATAGATTTTTATATTTAGAATGAAATATTTTTTATAATTTTAAATTGATTTTTTTATCGAAATTATTATAGAAATCTATGAAAAAAATTAATTGTTCTAAAAAATCAAATTAATAGTTGACAACCATTGAAATACTAAAATGTTACAATATGATAAATTTTAGGGATGGGCGTTTCGGGATTCGATTCAGAATTTTAACGGTTCGATTCGGGAACGATTTATTCGGTATTGTAAAATTTGTACCAAACTAGTACCGTATATTATTCGGTTTGGTTCGATTCGGTATTATGACGGTTCAGAACAATACGATACTAAAGTACCAAATAAAAACCGAAATAAAAACGGTTCGGAACAGTTCGGGACGGTTCATGACATATTTATAATTCATATAATATAAAAGTAAAGAGATCCAACAAAATAAAAGTTTTGAATTTGAAAACTTAAAAAAAAAATCAACATTAATCTCAATGCATTACGCAAAAAAACTCTTAATATTAGTAAATATCATAATTAACTATTAATATTAAATATTTTTAATTAAAAAAATAAAAATACCGAACTGAACTGTTCTCGAACCGTTCGATATTTTAAATTTTATACCGTTCGATATTTCTATATAATACCGAACCAAACCAAAATCGAATTAATTAGTTCGGTACGGTTCGGGACCAGATTTCCGAACCGAATTGTTCACCCCTAATAAATTTAAATAAATATTATGGTTTCTATCCAAATTTAATAGATTTTTATAATTAATATAAAACATTATATATTTTAAGTAATTTAGATAGATAATTATTTTTACTAAAATTAATTATTGATGGTTTTTTATAAAAATTTAAAGTGAAAGATTAGTTTTAAATAATTTATATAACGATGGTCTTTTTTGTTCTAAATTAATATTTGATGGTTTTTTATAATTAATTTTAAGTAAAAAAATTTTGGTGTAAATGTATAATTAGAGGATTTTTTTTAGGTTTGTCCATATAAATTAATTATACAAGGGTTAATGTAGTTGAAATAAAAATGTATGGTTATTTTATTCAATTTATCTAGAAATTCTTTTTGAATAAAAAATCTATTTAAAAGTCTTTTTTTAGATTTTTTCCAAATGAAAAATAAAAACAATCTTCCATCTCTACTAGGTTTGGCTGCGAATTTCAGAATTTTAGATTAATACAGGAGAAAAAATGATAAAATGAAATATTAAATTTAAACCTTTTAAATTTTAATACATGGTTCATGTTTTTATTTATTTTTATGATTATTTCTATATTGCATTTGGTTTTTATTAACTTAGTTACAAAATTTATTAGATTAACTTTGAGATTGAATTGGATTTGGATATAATTACGCGTACTTTCGGGTTTTCGTTTTTATAGTGGTCCTACCTTTTATATCCTAATTGAATTATTTATTCCTAAATAAATTTAAAAGAAATATTTTAAAAAATTAATGTAAAATTTTGTTACATAGAACAGATTGTAAACTACGTTTTAGTGGGCTTCATGGCCCACTAATACCTACGCCCAATAAAAATCCACCGAATTGCTTCAAGACAAAAAAGGACACGTCACTCCCAAGAAAGTGCCACGTTAGTTTACACAGACCTCCACGTGTAACACAAGCTCTCCACGTGTCACCTTCTCATGCATTTTCCAAACGCAGTTAATGAAACAGAAGCTCATCTCTATCTCTCTCAACGGCAGGAACCAGACCACACAGATGGCGGAGAAACCACCGGAGAAGGCGGCGGAAAAGCTGACGGAGGTCAAAACGAGGCCGGAGACGAAGAATATGAAACTAATGGTGGCCATGGACGACAGCGAGAACAGCTTCTACGCTCTCCAGTGGGCCATCGACCATTTCTCCGGCCTCATTCCGGCGGAGGATACGGCCGAACAAGGGATTCTCGCGGTGGTTCATGTTCAGCAACCCTTCCATCACTTCTCTTTTCCGGCGGGACCCGGCGGCGCCGCCGGTCTGAATTTTCTTTTTCTTAATTGTGCTTAATTTTTTTTTGGTTCATGTGGGATTTTGATATTTTCCACGTTTTCCCATAAGATAATAATTCATTCATAATTCGTAAGATATCATTAATTTGATTAATAACCAATAATAACATATATTATGAACGGTTCGTTGATATATATATGCAGCGGCGGTGTACATATCGTCGTCGACAATGGAGGCAGTGAGAAAAACCCAACGAGAGATGTCGGCTGCTCTGTTTGCTCGCGTACTCCAAATGTGCCGAGGGAAGAAGGTAATATATATATTTTCAGTAGATGAAGAAAATTTTCTCTGTATTGTTAAAAATAATCTGTACATGTGTTTTTATACAGAAAAAAAATAACAAATTTGCTAACAGATTAACAACAATTTACACAAAGAAAAAGCATGGGGAAAAACTGTTGCGAAGCAACAGAATGGTTGTTGCCATTCATCCCGCGTTCCTCTGATGTTTGAGTCTTGGGCCTGATATCTCAAATTGGGCTTGGGCTGAATTTAGCAGGCCTGATGTTATCTGTATTACGGCCCCCTCAAGTCTCGCTCTGGAGAAAAGAGACTTGACAGATGGAGTTTATGCAGGAGAGCCAAAAACAGAGCTGGTTGCATTTGTTTGGTAAACAAATCCGCGAGCTGATGAGACGATGACACATGCAGCATTGTCAGAAATCCGGACTTCAGTTTCTCGCGCACAAGGTGACAGTCGATATCGATATGTTTGGTACGCTCGTGAAACACCGGATTAGAGGCAATGTAAATAACAGATTTATTATCACAAAACAGAGCAGCAGGACCTGAGGTGGGGATGTGCAGATCGTCAAGCAAATGCTGTAACCAAATAAGTTCGCAGGTGACATTAGCCAGCGCCCGATATTCAGCCTCAGTACTGCTTCGAGAGACAGTCGTCTGTTTCTTTGCTTTCCAGGAGACGAGAGAGTCACCAAGAAAAACACAGAAACCGGTCGTGGAGCGTCGAGAATCAGGGCAGGATGCCCAGTCGGCATCTGCAAAGGCCTTCAGCCGAATGTCCGAAGTGGCAGAGTAAAGTAAACCTTGACCAGGGTTACCTTTGAGATAACGGACAATGCGATGGGCCGCTTTGAGATGATCAGTAGTTGGAGACGATAGGAACTGACTGAGTCTATGGACGGCGAAGGTAATGTCGGGGCGAGTGATGGTGAGGTAGAGCAAACGCCCGATGAGCCGACGGTAGCTGGTAATGTCGGAAAGAGGATCCCCAGCATCCTTACTCAGACGATGATTAGGATCCAATGGCGTAGAAGCCGGTTTACAGGCAAGTAACCCAGCACTTTCAATCACTTCAAGGCAATATTTTCGCTGGCTAATCGAAATACCCTGATGAGAGCGAGCAATCTCTAATCCCAAAAAATACTGCAATTTGCCGAGATCTTTGATGTGAAATTGCCGGGCGAGTAGAGACTTAAGATCGCGAATGCCGATTTCATCATTTCCAGTAATGATAATATCGTCGACGTAGACCAGCAAGGCGACAAACGATGTGTCAGACGATCGAACAAATAGTGTATGATCAGCTTGGGATTGAGTGAAACCAGCAGAAATCAATACTTTGGCGAAAGTCAGGTACCACTGTCGCGATGCTTGCCGTAATCCATAAAGAGATTTATGAAGGCGGCAGACGGCGTTTGAGGGCAACGATTCACTGATGGAAGCAGTATATCCAGGTGGTAAGTCCATGTAGATTTCCTCGTCGAGAACTCCGTGTAAGAAAGCGTTCGTAACATCCAGTTGATAAAGCGACCAATGTTTGATGGCGGCAAGTGCGAGAACAAGTTTAACAGTCACAAGCTTCGCAACCGGAGAAAAGGTGTCGAGAAAGTCGACGCCTTCCTGCTCATAATTTGAATTTAAAATCTATCATAAAAATAAATATGGACAAACTAAAAAAACATTCAATTACATTTATCCAAATAAATCTACTTTAAATCATCTTTTTATTTAATCAATTTGTACCTATATTACACAGATTATTATATTAATTCATTATTTTTTACAAAAAAATTAGAGTTATGATCTCGTTTCCTTTTTATGCGATAAACCCAGCGACAACCAACAGCACGCTTTCCGGGCGGTAAAGAAACGATGGACCACGTCCCATTCTCAGCTAGAGCAGTAAGCTCAATATTCATAGCATTCCGCCAGGCTTCATCGGATACAGCTTCTTTGAATGTTTTTGGTTCGGTGAATAGAGAGGAATTAAGGACAAAAGTTCGATATGGCGAGGAAAGGTGGTCATAGGTGAGAACCGAAGAAATTGGATAGGGAGACTTAGAAGAATCAATGAAAGATTTATCACTGACGAGATAGCAGTGATAATCCTGTAAATAGGAAGGAGGATGAGTGGAGCGTTTAGGTCGGGACGAAAGAGACGAGGTAGAATTGGGCCTAGAAACCAATGGGCTTGAATTTGTGGAAGAAGGAACGGAGCTGGGTAAAACTAGGTCAGAAGAAATTGGGCTTGGGGAATTTGAGTTGGGCCTAAGGATGGTATCTTGGCCAAGCGAAGAAGAAATGGGTAATGGCAGTATAGCCGAAGGAAAGACTGTGTCAGGTGAAACGGAAATGTCGGAGTGAAATGGGAAGATGGTTTCATGAAATTCAACGTTGCGGGAGATGATAATGGAGTTGGTTTCAAGGTCAAGAAGCTTATACCCTTTGTAGCCCGACGGATAACCAAGAAATACTGTCGCACGTGCTCGAGCTGAAAATTTGTGTCGATCCGAGAGAAGGGTGGAAGCATAAGCCAGGCATCCAAAGACTCGGAGATAGGAATAATCAGGGACTCTGCGCTTCAAGAGTTCATACGGGGATTTGTTGGAGAGTAGCGGAGACGGAGTCCGATTGATGAGGAAGACAGCGGTGCGAACACAATCAGACCAGAAACGGAGCGGAATATTGCCTTGAAATAACAGAGCTCGAGCAACATTCAGGATGTGTTGGTGCTTCCTCTCGACAACAGAATTTTGCTGAGGCGTCTGGACACACGAGAAGTAATGGACGATACCCTTCGATTGAAACAATGAATCAAATGCAAGCTCCGGAGCATTATCGGAGCGGACTGCCTTAACTCGCTGCGAAAACTGTGTCTCAACCAGAGTAAGAAAGCGGGGAATGACCTGAAGCACATCACTCTTGCGTGCAAGCATGTAGACCCAAGTGACCCGAGAATGATCATCTACTATCGTCAAGAAGTACCTATATCCGTCATGAGAAGTAAGAGAGAAAGGACCCCAGACATCTATGTGGATTAGATCAAATAGGGAATCCGAGAGATTGTTGTTTGAAATAAACGGAAGACGGCGTTGTTTAGCTAAATGGCAAACACGACAGTGAGAGGGAGCATGAAACGAGGGAATAGAAAGAGTCTTAGTCATAGATTGTAATTTTTGAAAAGACAAGTGCCCAAGACGGGAATGCCAAAGGGAAGAGTCGAGAACAACAGACTGAACATGAAAAGTAGAAGACGCAACAGGACTAAAAGCAGAATCGAGAAAATAGAGATTGTGAAAAAGCTTAGCCCTCCCAATCGTCGACCCCCGAGAAATGTCCTGAATGGAACAAGAACCAGAAGAAAAGAGACAGGAAAGATTAGAGTGACGAAGCAGAGAGCTAATGCTGATAATATTAAAAGTGAAAGACGGGACATAGAGCACGTTCGATAACAGTAAGTGATCATTCAAGGGTACTTTGCCAGCTTGCGTGACTGAAATCTGTAAACCATTAGGCAGAGTGACGGTGCTCGGAAGTATTGAGACCAATTCCGAGAATAAATGCCGGTTAAAACAGACATGAGCAGAGGCGCCCGAGTCCAGTATCCAAGAATGACTGAAATCCCCTGCAACCGAGGCAGTATTGCAGACAAAGGCAGAGAGAATAAGAGGTGTACCAGAATCAGGATCAGAGGCAGGGGCACCATGATCTGTAATAGTAGCTGTGGGAGTCTTGAAACGATCGTTGATTTTGGAGCAGAGTTCTTGAATTTGACTGATGGACAGCTTGTCGATATCAGAACAAAACAAGGGTTGCGAATCAACAGCAGCATTGGCAAAGGAGGTAGGTGATTTGCTCAAATTGTGGCGAACAGGGGGACGAGGGGCAGGAACATTGCCAGACTTTGGTGCGCGATAGCCCGGTGGATATCCATGAAGTTTGTAACACTTTTGGATTGTGTGCCCGTAAAGACCACAATGCGTGCATAGCGGACGCTGCTTATGCTTGAAAGGCGGACTGGAAACAGAGGAAACCGAATCTTGCACAGACGCAGAAGAAGCTTGGAAAATCACAGCATCAGAGGGTTTGCTGGATTTAATCAGGCGTTGCTGCTCCTGCTGTATGACGAGATTGTAAGCTGTCTGGAGATCTGGAGGAGGATCCAGAGCGAGAATGTGACCGCGTACACTCTCATATTCGTCATTGAGACCGAAAAGGAAATCAATGACGAAATCCCCCTCATCTTCGTCGTTCCACCGTTTGGACAGAAGGCAGGTACACTGACCACAGGTACAGGCGTGACTGGCCTTGATAGATTTGAACTCTTTCCAGAGAGCAAAAATGGCAGTGAAGTAGGCAGCGACATCCATGGTGCCTTGACGGAGATCACGCAACTTTTGTTTGATACGATACTTACGCGGGGCATTGCTTTGCTGATAGCTCTTAGCGAGAAATAACCACATATCCCGAGCAGTCTCGACATACAGAAGACTCTGGGCGATGTGTTCTGCTACAGAATTCATGATCCAACCACCAACAATCGCATTGTTACGAACCCAGAAGCGATGAGTGGGATCATCTTCGGCAGGCATGGGTAGAGAACCATCGACGAAGCCGATCTTGTTCCGACCCTCAAGAGCCATCCGGAATGAACGAATCCAAGAAGGGAAATCAGCAGCTCCGGTTAATGGTTTAGTGACCAAAGCCACGCCACCATTATCGGAGGTGGAGAGATAGTAAGGACTATCAAAGTCCGGCGTGAACGGGGCTGGAGGAGCAACCGCAGCAACCGGAGGAATGACAACAGGGACATGATCCGCCATTGAAAGAAAGGACAGAAAGAAATCTCCAGAACAGAGCAATTAGAGAAGATAATTTTGAGGAAGGAGAAGAATCAAAATTGCTCTGATACCATTTCAGTAGATGAAGAAAATTTTCTCTGTATTGTTAAAAATAATCTGTACATGTGTTTTTATACAGAAAAAAAATAACAAATTTGCTAACAGATTAACAACAATTTACACAAAGAAAAAGCATGGGGAAAAACTGTTGCGAAGCAACAGAATGGTTGTTGCCATTCATCCCGCGTTCCTCTGATGTTTGAGTCTTGGGCCTGATATCTCAAATTGGGCTTGGGCTGAATTTAGCAGGCCTGATGTTATCTGTATTATATATATATATATATATATTTACACACACACACTTCTATAATGGATTAGGGTTGGCACGAGTCAGAGTACCCACACCAAAACCCGTGTCTCGAGTTTCAGGGTTTGGACCACATCTGCCACCCGTGCAATTTAGAACGGGAACCGAATTGAATCCGAATAATTTCCGGTTCTAATTTGGTAACAGATCTATATAAACTGTCTCGAAATCGAACCCGTTAAATACTGAATCAAAACCTGAATTATCCATTTTCATTCATATAAGAATGCATGTGTGAAGTATGAAGTTTTGGTTTTTGTTTGGTACTCATTAACGACACTAAAACTAAACCAAACCGATTAACATTTGGTTCTAGTTTGGTAAAATTCGTATACAACCGTTTCCAAATCAAATCCAACAAATAGTGAGCCGAAATACTCATGTGTGTTTGGCTGGCAAGCGCAAGGGCAAGGGAGGGAAAACCTAACTCTTTAACTAAAGCGAGTTTCACAATTTGTTCCGTTGTCATTTACCGGGGACATAGTCATAGACCTAGGCGAGTTCAGAGTCGGGTATTCACGGTTACGCCTCGAACCGACGGTGATCGAATACCCGTTTTTCCGCGGATGGGTTAAGCCATGTAACGAATGATGTGTAGGAGGTGATATGTAATTTTTACAGACATTGCTAATATTATATTAATTGTTGCAGATAAATGTCAAAACAGCAGCGCTCGAGGGCGACCCGAAAGATATGATATGTCAAGCCATCGAGGAAATGCACGTTCAGCTTCTGGTCGTCGGCAGTCGCGGCCTTGGCAAGATCAAAAGGCCAGCCACCCTCCAAAGATATTATACATACGAATATATATCTATACATATATATATATATATATATGTGATCTTTTACTCATCTTTCTTGGGTTTTGTTTTTGGCAGAGCGTTTCTGGGGAGCGTTAGCGACTACTGTGCTCACCATGCAAAGTGCTCCGTTCTCATCGTGAAACCACCCACGGATGTGGCCAAGTAGCTAGTCAAGTTCTCAGTGTAAATAACAACAGGTATATTCTCCGTATATCTGGTCCCAATATACAATAAAAGGTGAAGAAATACATCAGGAACAGGCAAATGGCGGAAAATCTATGATTTGGGGTATCGATGATAGACAACAATGCCCAAAACATGTGAAAATCTTGACTTCGCCTATTAAATATAGGGGTGGGTACTGATTTAGTTCTGGATGTCTAAACCCAATCCATGAGGTTCGGTTCTAATTTAGTACATTGTTTTGTAAAACCGAATAAACCGTTTCTGCATAAATATTAAACCGGACTCGATCAATAAATACTGAACCAAAATCCAAATTATTCACCTATGATTTGGTATTTAGTATTTATATAATAAAATGGAAACCAAACCATTAAATATTAGATTTTAATTTGATTCAATTTTTATACAGTTGAAAATACCATTACCGAATACCAAACCAGAAGCTGAAACACCCACCCCTAATTAAAATGTAACCCGGAGGAAGTCGCAGATTGCAACTGTTGTCGTGTCTGAAAACATGATTTTATAAATAAAAAAAAAGATTAAGCTTAAGACTGATAAGACGATTTAATGGCATAAAGTGTCTCAAAATTTATCTACCGAATGAGTTTAAGGATGAAATTTAAAGACCATGGAACAGAGAACAAATCATCTGAAACACCATCCCCCACGCTAAGCCAGAAGAGAACAAAAACACTCTTTGAAGAGATAATAATACCGCAAAGGGCAAAAGGGTTCTTTCTTCAACGGTTAGCCTTTGCAACTCTCTCAATCTCGTCCTTCTTCTTGATGGCATAACTGCACGTTCAAGTGTAAGTTTCAATGGAGTAGAAACTCATATATATCATATTATTAGATATATAATTCCTTAACAACTCAATCTAAATATGAAACATAGTTTATGAACTCTCAAACTCTTTAGAATTATGCGATCTCTCAGCATTTGCTTACCTGTTGGATGAGCCCTTTGCTGCGTTAATCAGTTCATCGGCGAGGCACTCTGCAATGGTCTTGATGTTTCTGAAAGCAGCCTCACGTGCACCGGTTGTCAGCAAGTAGATAGCCTGGTTGACCCGTCTGAGCGGAGAGATATCCACGGCTTGTCTCCTAACCACACCAGCAGATCCAATCCTGGTTGCATCCTCTCGTGGTCCACTGGTTCAACGGCCAAAACCCCACCATCAGAAAGAATGCGGTTCGATCTCAATGTGGTACAGAGAAAACAATAGTTGATTTCAATACCCACCTGTTCACGATAGCATCAACGATAACTTGGATTGGGTTAAGGTCGGTCAAGAGGTGGATGATCTCCATGGCATGCTTAATGATCCTCACGGCCATCAATTTCTTACCGTTGTTCCTTCCATGCATCATAAGAGAGTTTGTCAGCCTCTCCACAATTGGGCATTGAGCCTTTCGGAACCTCTTTACAGAGTATCTTCCAGCAGTGTGAGGGACATAGGTTGCGTGTTTTGCCGGCTGAACCCCAATGTAGTCCACAAGACTGATGTCGGTGACCTATATAAGATATCATGATCAATAAAGAATGAAAAAACCTGACCTTAGTCCACATAGACTTAAAAAACTATGGGTCAGGAACATCGAGGAATGCCCTACATAGCAACAACAGTTTTCTTCCTAGTTGAAGAGAGACACAAGACAGATCTGATTGCAGAAGACCAAAAACACTGGTAATATTGATGTATTTCTGTACAGAAACTACGAGAAACATGCATTATCATCAGCCACTAAGTCTCTACATAACTCAACAAAACGATAACAACGGTGTAAAAAACAGTCAAAGATGAAACCTTACAACACTAGGATCCATTGTAACATGTAAACAAGGACAGAGACAAGTTTATTTTCAGTTGATATACTGTGAGTAACACATTTGCATGGCAATACAAGGTTAAGAGAGAGTTACAATCAACAAATAGAACTGAATAGCTTGATATAGAACAACAATAATCCGATCCAATCTTACAGGCAAAAGCCAATGGAATTATCATATCAAATCCAAGTATATATAATCTAGTGGTCATCACATTGTAAGTAAAAATAGATACAGAAAGAACCTAAATTTCAACAGAAAGTCCCAGGAAAATAACCTAACACTCATAATTAGATTTGGCATTACAAAGTGAACATATCGGGAGGGCAAACAACCAAAACAATTCTCCAGCGTCACTCTAGAGAGCCATTAAAAAAAAATAAAGAGGGAAATTGGTGAGATAATTACCGAAACATCGTCAAAGCTCCAGCGGTTGAAGAGCTTGACCTCATTGGTGAGCGCCTGCTGAATATCAGCGTCCACTTCAACGGCGGCGGCCATGGCTGCACCGGCAACTGAACAATAAGCGAAGCTCACGGACAGAGAGAAAGAGAGAGAGAGAGGCAAATATACCTGAGATTGGCGAGGGAGATGGCGGAGGGGACTAGGGTTAAAGCTTTTGGCTGCTGAAGAAGAAGAAATAAAACTCCACGTTTAAAGAGGAGAAAAAACCCTAGAGGGCTTTTATACATATATGCTAATGCAGTCCTATCTTAGGGTTTGTAGGTTCCTTGTAAATGGGCTCTCGTGAATGACTTATATTGGGCTTTATTGGGCCCATAACTTTTAACGATGGTAGACTAACATTTATTTTGGGTGAAATGTGCAATTACACTAATAAATTTTTATGAGTTTTTTTAATATAAATATATATTTAAAATATTGATCTTACTTAAATAGCACAAAAGACTGTAGAAAAAAATAATGTTGATGAAACATTAAAATGACGTGGTAAAAGACTTATCTACGAATAATTTATTTATAGAATAGATAGATTTTTGTGTTTCCTTTTGAATAAAAAACCAATCTAAAATATTAATATTATTTTTATTTTTTATAACTTATTAGGAGAAAAAGTGTTACAAAATGGGAAAAGAGCATTATCTTTTTTTTTCTTTCAAAAACAAACTTTTTATGTGACTTTTAATAAATTTGTAGGTTCTATTATTATGGTAATGTGATATAACGTATTAACAAAATATCTACTAACCAAGATATTATCCCCAAGAAGAATTTTGGCCATAACATAAAAAAGTAATTAAGATATGTACATAATTATTAATTAAGTCATTAAACGACAAATAAAATTAACATCTCATGATACGCTCATTAATTGATCAAAGATTTTTCTAAATAGTGTAATAAGGAAAAAACAAACCGATGAGGATAAACAGAACTGAAAAACACAAGTCATTTTTTTAATTATGTAACTGTTGCAATGAAACCAAACCTATAAAATCACTTTGATTTTCACTTTCCATAACAAAACTTCTCTTTTTTTTATTTATTTGAAAAAAAATGATGTCAAACCATTTTTTGGTGGCAATAACTATCGCGATCACAACGAATTATGTTGTTTTCGCAGTCGAAAAGAGGGGCATTTCGCCGTCATTACCTCCCGAGGAGGCCTACGGGGTAACACCCACGGGTTACGACTTCGATAACAAACTTCTACACCAATATTCGACGAAATATTTGCAATTTCTCGACGATTGCGCGCTTAAAATGGATCAAGATTGCGCAGAAGAAACGTTTCTCGACATCTTAGAGGGCAAAACTATGACGAGAGAATGTTGTATAAGTCTCGTAAAGATGGGAATAGATTGTCACGTGGGTCTGGCGGATTTGATCTTCAAGACATATGAGTTCAAGAAGGATGCTTTTGTCGGCGTTCCAAGGAGTAAGGAGGTTTGGAACCGTTGTGTTCTTGAGGTTGGAGATGCGATCGGTGCTCCTATTCAATTTGAGAGTTAACAAAAAAAAAAATTGATTTCTCATTGTGTTTTTACATTAACATACACATGCTTTCTTGTATGTTTTTGTCAATGTTTTAATTGGTGCGTTATTGGTGTTTTAATCAAGATATATTTGATAAAATAATAATTATATTCTCTAATCATTTTTTGTACCAACGTGACTTTGGTTCTATAGACAAAGATCACAATGTAAAAAAGATTTTTTGTAACTTTTGAATGTATTCTTATATATATAAGTAAAAGCCAAACTGAAATTATTATTTTTTAGGTTGATGGAGATTAATGGATTCTTGAAGAACAATTTGTAATTAAGTATATCATTATACACAATTTAGTGGTGGATATTTCGATTTAAATATACAAAATCGAATCTAATTGGGTATAATTTGTATAATAAGTGAATATAATTTAAAAGATGAAATCGAATTAATATATATATATATATATATATATATATATTAAAAAAGTTAGAACATAAAAACAATCAAAGAAATGTAATATCTTACATCACATAAAACCCTGATATTGGAAATAATTTTAAAATTTAATCATTTAAAATCTATTATATATCTAATATTTGGTGGTTCAACGGGTAAGGAAGTAATAAAACTATTTTTTAATCGGTTTTCGGTTTTCTGAATGATATAATTGGGTTAAATAATTGAAAAACTTCTGAATTATAAAAAAATGTAAGTTCGTATATTTATATAGAAACCCTAGATTTTATGGCCACTAAAAAACGATTTATAAGACAGCAAATGCAATTATATATAGTTTTAATTAGGATTAATCAGAAACAATTTAAAGCATAACGACGCTACACGAATTAACGTTTTCGAACAAACCATGGAGTTCAATAACGTGCAATAAAAACACATTAATGAATCAAAAAATGTTATGAAATAAGAATAACAAGAACCACGCATGCATGCATGTATCCTATAAAAGGGCATCATCACTCTTCCTCATTCACTAAATCCATCAATCCAAAATCATAAAACCCACAAAAAAAAAAAACATGACAAACTCTTTTCTCATAGCATTGTTCTTAGCTGCCCTTATGGCTCACCCGGTTTTCTCGGTCTTGATCGAGGTCGAGGACGATAATTCATCGCCTGCCTCTTCTCCCGATCAATACATCGAGGTGCCTGATATCTCGTCCGAGGAAATAATTACGCCCGCCGAGGCATACGATAGCGAATTGATCAGTCAGTATTCCCCCGAAAGATTGAGGTTTATCCAGGATTGCTCGAAGAAAACGAGGTCGAAATGTGGAGTTGAGGTATTCAAGAACATGGTTCTTGATCGACCGGTTTCGAGAGACTGTTGCAAAGATCTGTTGAACATCGGACAAGACTGCCATCTGGTTTTGGTTCAGTTTATTTTCTCGACATATGAGGTGAAACACACCCCTTCATTGACGGTCGCAAGGAGCAAGCAGACGTGGAACACGTGTGTTAAGATGGTCGGAGATGAGATGGGTGCTCCTGTGTCTTTGGAGACCTGATTTTGGTTTTGGATACTTAATTTGAAATATGTATTAACATATGTTGTCATCTTGTTTTTAATCTGTTAATGGATGTGAGATGATACATATTAATTCTGAATATTATATTTTTATATGATATTAATGTTAGATAGTACATACAAGTTATGAATTATCCACACACACACACAAAAACGTTGTTTTTTTTTTCTTCTCTAGTTACGTTAATTATGTATCTAAAATTCAAAGGATATTCATTCGATTTCTCTATAGGATCGACCATTCGTTACATATTTAGACCAAACATAACACACTCAAAACCCGTTATCTATTAATTGATCATGTGATTAATAGATAATGGCAAAAAAATGTAATTATTGTTTCAATATTTGATTAATTAATCATGTAATAAAAAGATCCATTACCCATTAGTTAAATCATCATGTACTAATGTTTTAAAAATACAAGCGAAAGGCAGGGAGGAAGGCCATAACGGGAATAAAAACTAATCTCAATCCACTCACAATTTTCATGTAAATTGAATAACAATTATCATAGTTAAAATAATATTAATTCTGATATAAAAGCAAAATTTTAATTTTTGCTAAATTTAAAAAATGAAACCAAGTGGAATATAGATAATTCTCAGACAGTAAATATTGTAATATAATCCCAATCACATATTCATATTTCGGTTCGGATATACAAAATAAAAACAAAGCAAATAATAGTCAACATATTAAATGATTGAATATATTTTTTTTTATAAAATCAAATTAAACAAATTCAAATGAATGTACAAATAATCGAATAAAATATAATGAAAATGGGGTTTTTCAGAAAATATTGTTTTTTTATAAAAATTGAATTCAAATATAAGAACATATAAACAAATATTTTTTAAAACTAAAAAATTAATATTGATAATAAAATGAATTTTGCAAAGGGCATAAATGATGTAACCAAAAAATAGGTAGGTTCCATCAACACCTTCAACTAACACAAAACACCCACTAATCATTAAATACTAACTACTAAATCCCATGAATATAATTCGACTTTCTTTAATTAATCTCAAAACTCCTAATTAACCATTAGTAATATCTTAATTATATTTATTTGGTAAGTCTTCCATGTCTTTAGGTGTACCATATAATATTGTTCTAGAATATGATCTCCACCACCTTCAATTTTTTTTTTTATTATACTCTACGATATATGATCATATAAGATAATATAAATAAGGGGGACTATCCACTATAATATATGACTATATGTTATATATTATTTAATAAGATTATAAAAATAATAATTAATCTCACAAAGTCTTCCTATAGTAAATTGAAAATTATATAGGAATGAAATTTTTAATATTGAAAATAAGAAATCAAACTCAATTTTGTTCACTTAATCCACCTTATATCCAAGCTGTAGGGGTCACTTATTTTTTTTCTATTATCTTTGAACATTATGCATGAAACCTCAAATTTATACCATAAATAAAATGCAAACAGTAACACCATGACCAAAATCAAAGATATACATTAGGGCCCAAAATATATAAAACTAAAAAAAATCTAATAAAATAATATACAATTATATTTTACTCGAATTTAATTTGAAACTTACTGTTTTTATTTTTTAATTTAAAATAAAAAACTAAATTTAATATGTGCATTTTTCAAATAAATATTTTTGTTAATGGAAACTATTTTTTTGGTAGAATTAGTGGAAACTATTTCGAATATAATTCTAATTAAACCAGGACCTTAAAACAAATCTACGTAAACAGGAATATTTGCGAAAGCAAAAAAATAACTGAAAATTATACAATGAGACTAAATATTATATGATGTATTATTTTTTAATTGAATTATTAAATATTATTCAAAAAAGCAGAAAAGTAGAGCACAGACTTTTTTTTATTGTTTGTAAAAAACTTCTATTTTAAAGAAATAAAAAAAAGTCTCACAGCCTCTCTCTCTCTCTCCTGTATCCGTGAAGGCAAATACGTACACAGCAATACATACACATTGTACGTATATATGTATGTATACTCGTCTTCCATTCTCTCACCTGAAACCTTTTGGGAGTATCTATCTGATTGCAAACGGAAAATGAAATGCGAGGCTTTTTTAGGATGAAAAAGGGGCACCATCGCTTCCAAGGCAAGCGAAGCGAGATTATAAACCCGCGAAATCTCTCAATCACAAAACTATCCGCTACTGATTACCGACGTTGATCCTTCTCTTCTCTATCACTTCTCCTATGTAATCATTCTCTCTCTCCCTCTCTCTCTCTTACACTTCTCTCGTCCCTTGCCTTTTGCATGCGATTCGGCTTTTTTTTGAGGTGATGTTCTTCGATTCGCTTCAGTTGCCCCCACCTACCCTTTTTGTGTTTTCGTCTGTTCTTTTGGAATTTTCCAGAATGCTGTTTGGTTGCGCAGAAAGCTGCGGAAAATCTGAGCCAATCCATGCTCTTTTTTCTTTTTCTCTCAGTTATTCAAACGTGTTTTAAAGGGTTACACAGTGACAATTGGGGTTTTTTTTCACTGCTCCATTGCGAAGGGTTCTTCACGGTTTTCAGTTATTGCGATTACGATTCTATGATTCGATTCACTTAATCACTGAGCCTCTCAACCCTTCTCCATCATCCTGCATTTGCCCCAAATTCTGTGCAATGCCTTTGCCTGGCCATGAACTCTGAAAATTCGAGCTCGGCTGCATATTTTTAGGTTATTTCTTTCTTTTTTTAACTGTAATGCGTATTTCTAGGCTTTAATCTTTGTTTCTTTCTTGGGTTTCTTTTACTTTCTCAAACAAGCTATCGGTTCCCATGGAAGTGAGGGACAATCACAATGAAACCGCCCACTTTTCAGCTTTTTAGTGGGTTTTTTTCTGCTTTTGAAGATGAAAATTTGGCTTGGACTTGTTGCATTAGAAAAGTTTTGGTTATTTCAGATTGTTGTCATTTCCTGTATATACTCAGCTAGGAGTTTTTGGCACTGTTTTATTCATTTCAGTCAATTTCCGAGTTGCTTTCATGAGCATGTTTGTGGATTTTCATCGGTTAGATTGGCGAAACAGCAGAGGGTTCTCCTAATAATCTGCTGAGACACCCAAGCTTCAAGTTTGAAACTGAATTAGGTTTTGGTTTATACCACAGATGTGTCCTTTTCCAGGGGGATATGATTGGTTTTGGTTTATTGACACATTTTGGCTTATTTCTCCATTCTCAGAAGGTTTGAATCTTGCTGCAATGGCATCTAAGCAAGGATCACAGACAAGAAAAGCAGGGTCTAGCAAGTTGAAGGTTGCTGATTCTCCTGCATCTTCAACTACTTCATCTTCGAAGCTTTATCCAGATACATCTATCGATGGCCACAGCTCCCCTGCTTCTTCATCTGCTCGAAGCAAGCCTCAGTTCTTCTATACGGAAAGCTTACCACCGAGAGTTGACCGATCCAAAGAAAATGTCACAGTGACAGTTCGCTTTCGTCCACTCAGGTGGTTGGTGATTTGTTTGTATAGCTTTGACAAACATTGGGTTGATGAGGGTTCCTTTGTGAATGTGACATTGGTTTCTGCTTGACGTAGTCCAAGGGAAATTCGCCAAGGGGAGGAGATAGCATGGTACGCAGATGGGGAAACAATTGTACGAAATGAGTATAATCCATCGATAGCTTATGCCTATGGTTAGTCTTAACATTTTGATTAGCTTTATGGGTTTATAGCACCATATATGTTGCATTTGAAGCATTGTGCCACTCTTGAATACCACGTTAATATATATATATATATATGACAGGGTAAATTGATACTGTAGTTTAATTGTATGTTCTCGCTTTTTCTGTTTCAGTCTGCTGTCTGTCGTATTTTTCTTCTCTTCTTCCTGTTTTATTGAAGCAGTATTTTGTTCCTTTAATGGTTTCTTCTTCTTGCAGATCGTGTTTTTGCCCCTACAACCACAACACGCCATGTCTATGATGTTGCTGCTCAGCATGTCGTTAGTGGTGCTATGCAGGGGATCAATGGTACGGACTAGGCTTTTTTGTTTGGTAAATCTAGTTAAGATGTGACTCATATCTTCACTTATTTATGATCTGATTACTTTTTGTGGGGGGAGGATCCCTTTGTCTATTTCCCATAAAGAAAGATTTAATGCATTGAAGAGGAATGATATATCGATGATTTGAACTTCTTCAACAAAGGTTACTTAACTGAATAAATATTGAACAATGTGCTCTTACGTGATACCTTTGACTTAGTTGACTGCATCTGCAGTTGGTTTTACTGCTTAACTAACTTTGGCTGTTGCTCCATTCATAGGCACCATCTTTGCATATGGAGTTACCAGCAGTGGAAAAACTCACACAATGCATGTAAGATTCAATTATGTGGATACTCCTTGTTTCACAGTTCGTCTCCAGTAAAGAATGTAGTGCTTGTCTTGTACGTATTGTGCAGCCTAACATCCGAGTGCATGCTTGGTCAAAGAATCAGATATCTATATTATTTGTCTCTTGTTACCCACTGAACTGCAACCTATCTATCAATCATTAACTCAAGCTAACAAACTTAATCATACATGTGAAAACTTGTAAGAGTTCTTGTAAATGATCTATTGGAAACATGAATTGTAAGAGTTGTTCACTTGTTTTGTTGTACAACTTGGTGTTTGGATCCTGAAACATTTCTTTGTGTTGACACTTATATTGCTTCTCTTCCTTGTCTAGCTAGCACATGATAGCATTATCTATGAATAATTCAATTCAATATTCTCTTCGCTGAACTAAAAGGTGATCTGTTTTCCTGCACGGTATTAAACCGTATTCCCTTGATACGGCTGCTGTGTTGAAAGAATGTTTGCCTATGACTTCAGAGACATGCTGATAAGTACTTACATGTTTGTGTCTAGAGTTTTGTATAGGTTCATTGTATCTGGACTATAGTTTGTGTGTGTTTGGATATGTTGGTTAGTAGTTGGTTCAACAATCATTTGAGTTGTAGTAGAGTTATAAATACAGGTTAGTGTGAGTTAGAGGAATATTATCCTGAATTTTGGGAAAATATTAGGGTTTGGGTTGAGAGAGGAGACCTCTCATTAAACAAGTCTTCAGTTTCAGTTCATCGGTTCGTTACAGATTTTCTACAGAATTGCTATTGAGTTCTTATCACATGCATGATATAGGAACAAGTTTAGCATGGCTTCGTGTAATTATCTCATGAAGAGGCTTATTTTGTTTCTGATAAGTGCTTATACGTATGTGTTTAGTGTTTTGTGTAGATTCATTGTATCTAGACATAGTTTGTGTACGAATAGATATGTTGGTTAGTAGTTAGTTTTCAGCAATCATTTGGCTGTAGTGGAACTATAAATATAGGTTAGTATGGGTTAGAGAGGATTATGCAGAATTTTCAGAGAGGGTTAGGGTTTGTTTGGGAATGAGAGTTGGGATCATCTCATAAAATAAGATTATCCAAAGTTGTATTCAGGTTTCGGTGAGGACCAAAGTCTCGATTTGTGCTGGAAAGTTGAGTTGCAGATTCTGAAACTTAACAGTTTCTTTCAAATATCAGGGTGACCAGAGATCTCCTGGAATTATACCATTGGCAGTGAAAGATGCTTTCTGCATTATTCAAGAGGTACTTCATAGGAAATAATTTTGTAGAATTCCTTGGTTTACAGAGTAGCAACCTCACATATTGATTTCCCTCGCAGACATCTGACAGAGAATTTCTCCTACGTGTTTCCTACTTGGAAATATATAATGAGGTGAGATTGTTTAGTTTTCTTCTCTGCTCTCCTCCCCTTTGCTAGCAGTAGTATTGGTGAATGATAAAACTTGTCTGTTTATTGTTTCTTTGATGATAGTATCCTTAAGGTTACATTCTATTTCAGGTTGTTAACGATTTATTGAATCCAACAGGACAAAATTTGAGGATCAGAGAAGATGAGCAGGTACTTCCTTCAGTACCACATCTTCTGTCACTTTTTATGTCAATCATGAGGGTTTGCTGATTTTACTGTTTCATTTATATCTTAGTTGTGATTATAATGTGATAGACCCTTTCGAGTATTAAAACCTTATCATAATGCTCATATTTGAATCCCGAAACCTTACACATTATAGATGTAATGGACCTAATGTAAGAAACATAAAAGCTCTCCGATGCTTGAAAGAATTCTGTTCTTTTTTTGTTGTTGGGGGGATCCAGAGTATTCGAAGTTGAATTTCCTAGATATTTTACTCCTGCTCTAGCACTTGAATGTAAACTTTTACAGTGAGCTTCAAATTCTAATCACTGCTACGGGTGCCTCTCCCTTTAACTTTGTGATTAATCTTTGTCGCTGATTACAGGGAACCTATATTGAAGGGATTAAAGAAGAAGTTGTTTTATCCCCTGCTCATGTGCTTTCTCTAATAGCTACTGGAGAAGGTATGTGGTGCTTCAACATTTCCCTTTATTTGAAGAATAAAGTGCTCGATAGACCACGCTGACTCTGGGAGAGATCCTCTTAGTCATTGTAAATTTTCTGCTTAAGCTTTTTTTTGTTAGAAATGCTTTACTATCATATAATAGAGCAATTCTTAAAACCAATGTTCTCTTTTTTGTGTTTCTAATGGTGATTCTAGTAATTTATTTTTATCAAGTCATTTTGATAGTTTTGGTCCTGATAACAGAGCATCGACATGTTGGGTCTACAAATTTTAATTTGCTCAGCAGCCGGAGTCATACCATTTTTACATTGGTATGTCTAAATCCTTTGGTCACTTGTAATATCATTGTTTTTTCTTCACCTGATAGTATTTGTGGTATTAATAGATGGCAAACGCATTTTCATATACTGTTTCTTTATACTCAATCATTTACTGATCCAAAGAACTTTTATAAGTCACTAAAGAAGATGTTAATATCACAGAATTGTACGAACTTAAGGTGGCAGCTTTGACATCTATAATGGAAGCGTCTTTATATTTTCCATGTGCCATTAGAATTAAAACGCCTTAGTTTCCCACTTACTGCTGCCAGAAAAATCTGTATGCAATATTCCACTTTTTCATGTTTTCTTCTCATGACGGGTTCCTTTCGTCCATTACCAGTCCTTGAGAGTTTAAATCCATCATTATTTTTCTTTCTGTAAGTATTAAATAATCGAGCTATTTTGTTTCTGAAAGTGATAAAGTGAACTTTTGCAGACGATAGAGAGTAGCCCCTTGGGTGAAAATAATGAAGGTGAAGCTGTACATCTATCGCAGCTGGTATATAGTTTGATTTTATCCTACGATATTATGTATACTACCGTCACCTCTTTGGTTTAAATAAAAGCATATATTTTTCTTGTTGTCTGTTTACTCCTTCCATTGTCCATCAGTTCAAAGGTGGACAGCCGATATTAACTACCTCATAATTTTTCCCTCTGCAGAACCTCATTGACTTGGCAGGTTCTGAAAGCTCAAAGGCTGGAACCAGTGGTTTAAGACGAAAGGAAGGATCATATATAAATAAAAGTTTGCTGACTCTAGGGACAGTAAGTTATTGGTTTCTACTGTTTTATCTTATTTATCAATCATTGTGGGAGATCTTTTGGCCACTAAAATCATCATTTGAAAGGAGGTGTGCTAATAGATATCCTAATGTGATGTTCTAGGTAATATCAAAGCTTACAGATAGGAGAGCCAGTCACATACCATACAGAGACTCCAAACTAACACGGCTCCTTCAGTCCTCATTGAGTGGTCATGGTCTTGTATCTGTAAGTCTTGTTAGATTATCTCTGCTTCATCCTCTTGCTATAGTAAATATCATATCCATGACTTAGTCAAGTTCAAGGAAATACTTTCCCTGAAAATATTGCCCACTCGTTTCGATAAAAATGTATTTTACTGATTTGATGTTCCCTCTGGAAATTGTAGCTCATTTGTGCAGTCACTCCTGCATCAAGCAGTTCGGAAGAAACCCACAACACATTGAAATTTGCCCATCGCGCAAAGCATATTGAGATTCAAGCCTCACAGAACAAGGTTTCCTTTTAGCTATGTTCTGTCAGATATATGTATTTGTCTTCTGAAGGTTCTTTCTAGATTTCTAACATTCTGAACTTTATAGATAATCGATGAGAAGTCATTAATCAAGAAGTATCAAAATGAGATACGCAAGCTGAAGGAGGAGTTGGAACAGCTTAAAAGAGGAATCATACCAGTTCCTCAACTAAAGGATATCAGTGAAGATGATATTGTTCTCCTGAAGCAGAAGGTATGATTGAAAGATGATTTCGCACTTTTTCTGTGGCTGCTAAAGTTAATTTGTTTTCAACCAGTCTCTCATGTAAACTGGTCACTGTGTAAGTTTTGCAGTGGGACCCCGTGGTGATTTGACCATATACTGCTTCAAAGTTATAGACGGCCTTAAAATAATTTAACGTAATATACTGGCATGTCCTTTCTTCTTGGGTACAACTGGTTCTTTCCTCCTTGATATGCACGTGTAACCTGCAATCACAAATCATACCAGCATTTAATATGAACCTCTAACGTTGCAAATTCAGTATGCACATAGTAGTTCTTTATCTTGAAATCTCCTGATACTGATAAGCATAAAGTACGTAGTAGAGGTAACAAATTTGTTTCTTTTGGGGGAAAATCATGTGTACACAATCAGCTTTCGTCCTTTTTGTATGATGTAGAGGTCTATTTAAATTTGTAGTGTTGTATGTTGTAGTTTTAGAACTGCACATGTGATACTTCGTTTTATTACAAACTATCTGATAGTGCATATGGTCATTGATCATCGAATTTGATAAAGTAGGCCTTTTTGGACATGAAATGCAATATTCTGTAACATCATCACTGTTACCTCCCATCCTGTGTATGTTCTGTCACTGCCCTTTAGCCCTATAGCTTTCAGCTATGCCTTCAAAAGATCTCTGAAGTAATCTGGCTTGTCTCTCTATTGTTACTTAATGTGATAATAAAAGCTAGAAGATGGTCAAGTCAAGCTGCAATATAGGCTGGAAGAAGAGGAGGAAGCTAAAGCAGCTCTCTTGAGTAGAATTCAATGGTTGAAGAAGTTAATTCTGGTGTCGAATAAAACTCCACAATCATCACGATTCTCTCACCGTACTGATTTTCGTCGGAGACACTCATTTGGAGAAGAAGAGGTATATAAATTTCTGATGCACTACTGTCTAATCATTTTCTCCCCATACCCTTTTGTGGGATTGCTGAATGAGCTTAGTTCATTGAAATAACATTAATAGCTGCAGGGTCAAATCTACAAGTTCCTAGCTTTTTGGCTGATTATTGTTGCTAATGTATCCAGCTTGCTTACCTACCATACAAGAGGCGGGACTTGATGGATGATGAGAACCTTGATTTGTATGTTTCACTAGAGAGGAATCCTGAGATGAGAGATGATGCATCTAGAGAAGAGAAGAAGACGCGGAAGCACGGATTATTAAATTGGTTGAAGCTTAAGGTATACATATGATTTAAGTTTTTTTATAGACGTTGATAATTCTAATTGAGTTTTTCTCTGTTTGTTGGAGTTTATCCTTTAAAAACGAAACTGTATCCAGCAACCATACTATTATCCTCATCGCAAATGGATCATCCACTTCAGAATTCTGGCACTTCTATACTTTTCAAAACAGTTTTCCCGTGTCTCTTCTGCCAAACTTATATGATTCAAGCGTACTCGTTTCCTATCAGAAAAAAGAGAACAATTTAGGATCATCAAGCATCAGTGACAAGTCGAGTGCAGTTAAGTCCAACAGTACACCTTCGACTCCTCAAGCAGGAGGCAGTAATTTGCATACAGAGTCAAGACTTTCAGAAAACGCCCCACTGGCAGATCAAGTTTCAGAGCCTGGGAAAGATAGAGAAGCTCCTGAAGACAGTTTCCATGAAACAGAGACACCAGAGGTACACACGAGTTTTTCTGACATTTTCTCACCAAGTAATCCAAAGTCAGAGCCAATATACGAAACAGAGAGTTTAGATTTCCATTGAATAAGTTTCTAGAGTTTTATGTTGGATAAGTGATACTCTATTCTTAACACTTTGTTTAATTGTTCCAGACTAGCATAAAAATAACCAATCACATTGATCTACTGCGGGAACAGCTAAAGATTTTGTGTGGGGAGGTGGCTCTACAATCGAGTTCTTTAAAACGGTTGTCAGAAAAAACTGGAAAAGCCCCTCAAAACGAAGAGATCAAAGTAATTTTATATTCGTTCTTTTCTTATCTGTCTACTGTCTTATTGTTTTTCAAAACCTTGCAAATATTTACCATAGGGGTTCTCTTCGAGTTTTTTCTTAAGGCGGAGATCAGCAAGCTCACCTATGACATCAAGGCAAAGAACAACCAGATCGCTATGTTGGAGAAACAAATAGCAGATTTTGTTACGGCATCACATGACACATTGGGTAAATCTGAAATCTTACAGGTAGGTTAACACTTAACAATCTTAAAAATCACCTGGTGGCCTGGTGATTCTTGTTCTGACATTCATTTACGAGGTGAACTTTTCCTAACTCATCTCTCTGTTACCTGTAGGCTGTTGACGAATTGAGGGCTCAATTGAATGATAAATCTTTTGAACTCGAGGTGATCACACTGTCTCTTGCTTATGTAATACCTTTGGTCATCTGTCCCTATACCACCTGGCTTATACCATATTTTTTTCTCTAGCTTGATATCATGGTGTCCTTATTCTTCAGGAAAAAAACATGCAAAAAAAAAAACACTCAATTTTTTTTTTCCTAGCATGTCAAAAGGCTAACAATCCCCAAATGAACTTGGGAATGAGGCCATGTTGTTGTTGTTGTTGTTGTCAAAAGGCTAACAATATTAACAAAACTCTCCAGTGTTTTCCTCAGTATCACTGGTATTCGGAGTTTAACTGACTGTTCCCTCTTGGATATTGGTGAATTGCAATTTAGAGTTTAGCTTGATGCTCTACTATTTCTCATTTTTCTATCTTGTTTATAGGTTAAAACTGCAGATAATCGCATCATCCAGGAACAACTCAATCAAAAGGTCTGGAGAATATGTCTTGTGTCTCTCCCCCACTCCGACTTTTTGTTAAACTCAAAGACTAGTATACGTATCGAGAAATCTTTAACTCGAGAACCATCTTCTGCAGATGTGTGAATGCGAAGCATTGAAAGAAGAAGTTGCAAACCTAAAGAAACAGCTCTCCGATGCCCAGGAACCGAGAAGTGCGAGCTCAACAAGCGTCTCCAGTGATTACAGATCCAAGAGCGAAACCCCGAGCATGGAAGACAGAAACGACAAGAGAATCCTACAAGCACAGGTCTGCTACCGATATTTTCTAATTGCATTTCCCTGATCTTCTTCTCAGATTCAGATTGACATTTTTCTTTCTTTTTTTCCCCTACTCTCTGGGCATCGCAAGGCATTTGAAATTGAAGAGCTGAAGCAGAAAGTTGTGGAACTAACCAAATCAAAGGAACAACTCGAACTCCGAAACGGGAAACTGGCTGAAGAGAGTTCATATGCTAAAGGGCTTGCATCTGCTGCTGCAGTTGAGCTCAAGGCATTGTCCGAGGAAGTTGCAAAGCTCATGAATCATAACGAGAGATTAGCAGCCGAGCTGGCAGCCCAGAAGAACTCTGTCATATCCCGTAATAATAGGACAGGAACCCTAAGGAACGGACGGAGAGAGAGCCTTGTAGTAAAGAGGCATGAACAAGAATCCTCCTCTCTGCTGAAGAGAGAACTCACCATGAGCAAGGAACGTGAGCATTCATATGAAGCTGCCCTCTTCGAGAAAGACCAGAGGGAAGCCGAGCTTCAAAGGACGGTAGAAGAATCGAAGCAAAGGGAGGCTTATCTCGAAAACGAGCTCGCAAACATGTGGGTTCTTGTTGCCAAGTTGAAGAGTTCCCATGGAGCTACCGAGTCAGAGATCTCTGACTCGGTGACTCAGTAACAGAGACTGGACAAATCGATCATTAACTGACCACTATACGACTTGACTTGTGGGCTCTTCGAGGTTGTTTTGTCACTCTCTCCTCTCTTCTTCTCTGTTGGATCTGTCTCTTTGTTTATAATCTGTAAAGGAAGTGTGATGAAGGCAGCTATTTGTTCCCTTTTTCCAAAGTGTAATTTCATAAAACCTACCGGCAGTTTGAATCTTTGTTAGTAGATGTGTCCATATATTTCATCAATGGAAGTCGCAAGGGCCTTATGAAATCACCATATGAGATAGGATGTGGCATTTGGGGAGGTGTTATGGACTTGATACATAAACTATCACATAAAGAGATTTAAATCCATGGTCAACATATAAACTTCAGAAAATGAAATTAGAACCCCTAGTATGACATAACTATAGAACAAGTGTGCCCTGTGATACATATATTTCTTCATCAAAGTGTTAGCTTGTCATGAGAAAAATCCAACTCATATCTAACCCTGCCTAAATTTGGCAACAGAGCCGGAAAAATTGCGGTATTTCTCCAATTCATATCAACCTCCACAATCTGTAATCACGACAACAAGAGGAGAGGGGTTTTGTTCTGCAATAAAACTGCAGAGACTATTGCAGAACCAACCCTCTCTGCTTCGAACAAACATCCAAACCATTACAACACTAGCTAGCTTAACACCCAGAAACAGATCTTGCTCGCAGAATCGTTCATTGACATCTATTTCCCAAGATCTTTCACTGAAATTCCAACAACAGTAATCCAACACTCAAAGCTACAACCGACTGAAATTTGTTCCATGCGACAGGACCTAACCTAACTTAACCACCACTCTTCAGTTAATGCAACAAGTCAAAATCAAATATGAAACAGAAGTAGTACCCTCCTTTCAAAAGCCACATTTTTCGGGCTCCAATTCGACAAGGACTTGGAAAATCCCATAGTGCCTCCCCTTTCCCCTCCCTGGATTTCTTCTTCTTTCACAAACCCTTTGTCCCAATCACAAAAAGCTGTCTCCTTTATGAAAGAAGAATCCCATGATATGCATTGAAAACCTGAGCAACATATGATGCATTGAAAGCTAAGCTAAACCAAACGAATGAAGAAGAGAGAGGATGCTTCAGTTGTAAATTTCAATACTTGAAAGTGCCCCTCATCAAATTTCATCATGGATCAACTTAAACAACCAGTAAAATCATCCGAAATTGTCGGAGAGAAGCTCAGAGTAACCAGAGCTTAATTGAATCAGCTACCCAGTTCATTGAAATTCTAAAAAAATAATAATACTAAAATTCCCCAGAATCAAACTGATCAACTCGTCTTCGTATCCGGCATGGGGAACAACCCGCCACCTAGAGCAGTTCCTCTCGGCGGAGAAAACCCTAGAAACTTCTGCAGATTGGTCCTGATGCTGATCGAGCAAAGCAGGTAAAGAAACGCCATGGAGCAATCCGTCACATCGTCGCCCTTAAGCCCCCTGTGGCTCATCATCGTCACGATCGTGATCGGATGGAACGGAAGCTTCGCGACGACTATCCCTTCGAAGAGCGAGTTCAACAAACCGTAAACAACGAAGAGAACCACGGCCACAACGGCGCCGGATTTGAGCTTGAAGAGCGAAAGATCGCGGCTCGATTCCTTGAGGCTGGTTTCGACTCGATCGATCTTCTTCGTCTTCGACTTCTTACTCGTGAGCTTGGTGGATGGATTCTCCGTCTTCATGGCCTCGAGCTTCTTGGCGGCCTTGTCAATGGAGGATTTTAGGGATTTGTATGAGCTTGTCCGATAGATTAAGAACCATGAGATCGCTTCGCAGATAACGGCGGTGCAGAAGGAGATGCCGACGAGGGTGAGGCTATCGGTGTACTTGAAGGAGACGAAGAGCGGATGGGCTGTAGCCATTGTACGGGTTGTCTGGGAAGCAAGAAAACACAGAGTTGAGTTGATTTTCCCTCTTTCTCGAGAAAATACTCTCTCTCTCTCTATATATATATATATAAGCGAGATTTGACAGAAGTGAGTATGATAAGGATTGAGGAGTTTGATCGCCACTCTACTTCATAGATGGGGCCACAAAAAAATATTAGAGACGTTATGGGGCATTTACCTAAAGTAATAAAGTTTTTTACTGTTGTTTTTTAATCCCATAGTTTTGATTCGTTCAATTACCCCCAATGTTCATGATTCCAGAATTCAATTCATCAAAATTCTCCAAGTTTAGTTTTTTAAATGATTATGTATCCAAGTGATGAAATAATTATAAGATAAATAAAGAAAACAAGTGGAAATTTTCTAAAATAGTACATAAGTTATAGACTATTATGACATTGTAAAGTATTCTATCAAATGTTTAAATGGTTTTGATGAATGTTGATGTAATAGAGCACCAAGCAACTATTTGGCAATTAAAACTATTTGGTGATTTATTTGTTATTATGTTAATAAAAGCATGGCCGAATACTTTAGTATAATTGGGTTGTATATAATTTAATGGAACCAAATTGAAAAAATATATTCATATTCAAATAGAATTTGAATGGAACCAAAATTTATGTTATAATCAACTATCTTTAGTTTTTATAAAATAAAAAATAAAATCGTAAAATAGTAACGGAGATATCAATCTTAATAGTTAGAATTACAAAAATAGTTAAATACGAATGTTTTTGTAAATGAACAATTTGTTAAATTAGGAATGTCAGTGTATATAATCCAAAGAAACTCCAAAAAAAAATTAATGTTGGGTTTTGTGAAAGTCAAAATAAGGGTTTTAGAAAGAGAAAAAAAAGGTTTGTAAATACAATTTAAGACGAGTTGGCACAATATATTCAAACAAAAACGAAATTTGCAAAATATCTCACAAAAAAACAATTTTTATATACTATACTTTTTTTTCTAAATACCCAAACTACTCTTTACAGTATTTCTCTACGATTGTGTGATAATCTATCTTTTAAAAATCGTTAAGTTTTGCTATTTGATCTTCTTTTTTCTCCAATATTTTTTCTATCTCCTCTATTTCTTATATAGTTTATCTAATCTATTCGAATACTTTTCTCGTTGACTTTTTTTTCCCTGTGATATTCTGATCATTTTTTTGCATGCACATAAGGTGTTTGATGAATTGTCTGTACCAGAAAACCGCGGTAGATGACTTGCGATCTGTGAAAAATGACATGCGTTCTACGTTAAATGACCTATGGTCTGGCAGGATGACCCCGCAAATGACTTGCGGTCTGCGGCAGGTCACTTGGTCTACGACAGGTCACTTGCGGCACCTGGAGGTCAAGTATACCTGTTGACCTGTGGCCTATCGCACCTGCGGACCTGCTGACTTGCGGCATGTCGCACATGCGTCCTGCGGACCTGTGACTTGCGACCTGCGACCGTGATTTTACTACGACCATATAACTACGATTACGACTAGATAATTGCGACCGTGATTTGAATACGACTAGAAAACTATGACTACGACCAGATAATTGCGACCGTGATTTCATTACGACCATATAACTACGACTACGACCAGATAATTACAACTGTGATTTCCCTACCATCATATAACTATAACTACGATCAGATAATTGCGACCGTGATTTCACTACGACCATATAACTACGACTTCGACCAGATAATTGTGGTCGTGATTTCACTACGACCATATAACTCCGACTACGACCAGATAATTACGACTGTGATTTCACTGCAACTATCTTTTAGAAATCGGAACGTTTTGTTATTTGATCTTATTTTTTCTCCAACATTTTTTCTATCTCCTCTATTTCTTACAGTTTATCTAATCTATTCAAATACTTTTCTGGTTGATTTCTTTTTCTGTGATATTCTTATCATTTTTTTTGTATGCGCATAAGGTGTTTGATGAAATGTTTGTAAAAGAAAACTGTAGAAAATAACCTGGCGTCTGTGAAAAATTATCTAGCTCTGCGGTAAATGACCTACAACCTATGGCAAATGACCTACGGTCTGCCAGATGACCTGCAGCCCGCGGCAAGTCATATTTGGCACCTACGGCTTGCGGTATGTCACCTACGACACATATCGCACCTGCTAACCTGCAAATGTTTTTTCACAAAATCCATGCAAGTGTTTTTCTATACTTATATAAGAAAATAAAATCTATATAAATATTTTTTCATGTATGTGGAAGAAAACGAAATTTATGCAAGTATTTTTTGTGACAATTTATCTTTTAGAAATCAGAACGTTTTGCTATTTGATCTTATTTTTTCTCTAACATTTTCTCTTTCTCCTCTATTTCTTACAGTTTATCTAATCTATTCAAATACTCTTCTGGTTGATTTCTTTTTCTGTGATATTCTAATCATCTTTTTGTATGCACATAAGGTGTTTGATAAAATATATGTAAAAGAAAACTGTAGAAGATGACTTGCCATCTGTGAAAAATGACCTACGTTCTGCGGTAAATGACCTACAGCCTACGGCAGATGACCTACGATCTGCTATATGACATGCGGCCTATGGCAGGTCATCTTCGGCACCTACGGCTTGCGGTGGGTCAACTACGGCACCTGTCACACCTGCTAATCTGCAAGTGTTTTTTCACGAAACCCATACAAGTGTTTTTTATACTTGTATAAGAAAACAAAATCCATATAAATGTTTTTTCATGTATGTAGAGGAAAACGAAATTCATGTAAATGTTTTTTATAAATGTAAGAAATCTGTTGGTTATAATAATATAGAAGGATATAATGGTCATTTTAACTTAAAAAATATAGAATACAAAGATTACAAAGTAGAAATATAGAATGTGAAAGGTTTTTTTTTTTGTATATTTATGCAAATTTTCTCTACAATTTATTCTCAAATTATTAGGAAATAATTAATTAAAATAAAATAAAAACAAAAAATAATAAAACCAATGGCGTTTTTGGATTTTTCAATATTTTCATTTTGCCCGCCCATAAAAATTAGCGTCGGAGTCTGGAAAGAGTTTCTCATCTCTCTCTCTCTCTCTCTCTCTCTCTCTCTCTCTCCAATTCTTCTCAATAAAAAAAATCGTAGAAGATAGAACAAAAAAAAAAAAATTAGAGCGAGCGAGAAAACAGAAATGGAGGAAGACGATCAGCAAAAGGTTGCAGATTTAGTGAAGGAGCTTGTTCTTCGTCTTCTCTCTCAAAACTCTCAAACCCCTTATCCCGATCCCAGTTCCTCCACTTTCCTCGCAACCCTCCGTTACGCGTTTCGCATTCTCTCGAGCCGCCTCACTCCCTCGATCGCTCCAGACGCCACCACCATCGCCGAGTCCCTCAAGCGCCGTCTCGCCACCCAGGGAAAATCCTCCGACGCCCTCGCTTTCGCCGATCTCTACACCAAATTCGCATCGAAGACTGGTGCCGGTAGCGTCAACAACAAATGGGCTGTGATTTACTTGCTTAAAATCGTATCTGATGATAGGAAATCGGCGAAAAATGGGTTTGATTCCTCGGTTCTGCTCTCCAATTTAGGGCTTGGTAATGGCGGATCGGGTGAGGAGAAGGATAGGAGTAATGGGGTTTTGTTGGTTAGTAAAGACCCTGAGAATTTGCGGGATATTGCGTTTAGGGAGTATTGGAATCTGGTCAAGGAAGAGAATGAAGTGACAGAGGAGGTAATAGTGAGGGATGTTTTGTATGCTTGTCAAGGAATTGATGGGAAGTATGTGAAATTCAACAGCGAGTTAGATGGGTACACAGTGTTGGATTCCCTTAGGGTTCCTCGAGCTACTAGGGTTCTGGTTCGTAAGCTTTGCGAGCTGGGTTGGCTGTTTAGGAAGGTGAACACATTCATTTCTGGGAGTTTGGATCGGATTCCAGCCGGAGATGTCGGAACAGTAGAGCAAGCCTTTTGTGCTGCTCTGCAAGGTGAGCTATCAGAATATTATAAGCTATTGGCTGTGCTCGAGGCACAGGCCATGAACCCTGTTCCATTGGTTTCTGAATCAGCTAGCTCAAACAATTACCTTTCTTTGAGGAGGTTATCGGTCTGGTTTGCAGAGCCAATGGTGAAAATGAGACTGATGGCTGTTTTGGTTGACAAATGTAAGGTTTTGAGAGGCGGGGCAATGGCTGGGGCTATTCATTTGCATGCCCAACATGGCGATCCGCTTGTTCATGAGTTCATGATGGATTTGCTTCGATGCGTGTGTTCTCCTTTGTTTGAAATGGTAAGAAGTTGGGTCTTGGAAGGCGAACTGGAAGATACTTTTGGAGAATTCTTTATAGTAAGTCAGCCAGTTAAAGAGGAGTCACTCTGGAGGGAAGGTTATAAGCTCCACCAAGGAATGCTTCCCTCCTTTATTTCACCGAGTCTTGCCCAGAGAATTCTAAGAACTGGTAAATCCATAAACTTTCTCCGTGTTTGCTGTGATGATCAAGGATGGGCTGATACAGCATCAGAAGCAGCGGCTGCATCTGGGACAACAACTAGTCGAGGAGGTCTTGGGTATGGTGAGACCGACGCACTTGAACATCTTGTTACGGAAGCAGCAAAAAGAATTGACAAGCACCTGTTGGATGTTCTATACAAGAGATACAAATTCAAGGAACATTGTCTCACAATCAAGCGGTATCTACTCCTTGGACAAGGCGATTTTGTGCAGTACTTGATGGATATTGTTGGGCCTAAACTGTCTGAACCGGCCAATAGTATTAGCTTGTTTGAGTTGGCCGGGCTTCTAGAAGCTGCAATTCGGGCTTCTAATGCGCAGTATGATGACCATGACATGCTAGACAGATTGAGAGTGAAGATGATGCCTCATGGCACTGGGGATAGAGGCTGGGATGTATTCTCGTTGGAATATGATGCAAGGGCTCCACTAGATACTGTGTTCACCGAGTCTGTTATGTCTCGGTACTTGAGAGTTTTCAATTTTCTCTGGAAATTGAAAAGGGTGGATCATGCTCTTAACAGTATTTGGAAAGCAATGAAACCAAATTGCATCACATCTAATTCGTTCATTAAGCTCCAAACAACAGTGAAGTTTCAATTGCTCTCAGCCCTTAGACGATGCCAGGTTCTCTGGAATGAAATGAACCATTTCGTCACTAACTTACAGTACTACATCATGTTTGAGGTGTTGGAGGTGTCATGGTCTGATTTTTCGAAAGAAATGGAAGCTGCTAAAGACCTGGATGATCTATTAGCAGCACATGAGAAGTACCTCAACTCCATTTTGGAAAAATCTCTACTGGGTGAACAGTCACAAACCCTTCTCAAATCCCTTTTTGTCCTGTTTGAGCTTATATTGCGGTTCAGAAGTCATGCAGATCGGTTGTACGAGGGAATTCATGAGTTGCAAATAAGGTAGACTTGATGATTTTTAAAAAAAGTAAATGTTAAAACTTTCTCTAGTTTCTTCCATCTGTTAAGTTTCAACTTATTAACATTCGAATTCTGCAGAACCAGAGAACCATGCCGAGAAAGGAATAAGGCACAAGAGTCCGGTTCATGGATCAGCGAGGGCAGGAAGGCCATAACACAACGTGCTGGAGAATTTCTTCAAAGCATGGCCCGAGAAATGGACAGTATTTCAAAGGAGTACACATCATCACTTGAAGGGTTCTTGTCTCTGTTGCCTGTGCACCAATGTGTAGACCTCAAGTTCCTCTTTTTCCGGCTCGACTTTACCGAGTTTTACAGCCGGTTGCATTCTAAAGGATAGGAAGGTTGCAAGATCGGTTAGTAAAAAAAATCATATTCCACAATAGCAAGAACAGACAGGGTCTATTTGTCACTAACTGCTGACTGTGACATTGGTTCATCAACCCATATATGGATCTCTCTCTTGAATCTAGGTACCCTGAAGAATCTGTTTACTTTATGTCAATCTCTTAGTTTTTGTTTTAGACTTCTCAAAAAGGTTTTGTGTTATTTTGCAGGTTGTTTTTGATGGCTTGCTTCAACCTTGGGATTTGGAAGCAGTTTCTTGTGTCGGCGGTGAGGTTTGAGTTTGGATTTGTGCGCTCTATGAGTCTGATGTTCTACCGATTTTTGTCGGTGTTCCCATTGCAGTTTCTGTAAGATCAGTTCGAGCTTGCTGATCTGCATGGTTTGTTTAAAACACATATTGATATGAGAAAGCAGTTGAAATTGCATGTGAAGCAACTCCATTGTGTCATATACATATTGATTTGCATGTATTTGAGCCTTGCTTTTGATGTTCTGACGGTCTGCCCCCATTAGTAGAAAGATTTCAAAACAAGAACACAGAATATTTCACTGCATAGGAAAAATTTCCAGCAAGTTTCTGCTTGAACCGAGCTTCCATTGACATCATAAGAAGGCAGAGCACACAATCTGGAGGAACCTCCATCTTTCAGTGGACCGACTTCTCGGGTCTCTGCAGTAACTTATTTGCCCGCAAAAAGGTTCGATCTTTCTGCTTTCTTTTATCCTGGTCGATATCTGAACTGAAACTCGGTTACTGTGTTTTTTCAGGCTCCATTAGTCAATCGGAGCAAGATCCAAGTAGATTTATCCAACACTGATATTATTCATCATAGGAGGTTTAGATGATGTCTGAAGAAGTCAGAGCAGGTTTAGAGATTTTCCATGGAAAGGAAACTGGTTTTCCACAATCTAGTGAACTCGAGCAAAACCACTGGATATTCTTCATTCTTCTCTGTTATTTCCCACAATCAAACATGTTGATTTATCCCCTTTTCGTTTTCTTCTTCTTTTTTTTTTTTTGGTAAGAATCCATATCTGTATGCAAAAGAGAGATTGCCATCAAAGCTTATTACAAACACTTTTCATGGAACCGAACTCAAGTCCTTTGCATTCAAGAACTTGAAACAAGATTCTGTATGTATGATTCAAGAACTGAACCCTACCATCATCCATTCTTCCCCATGTACATTTGATGGAGCCGAAAACTGAAAAGAGAGTTTTTGGCCCAAAAAAAGAAGAAGCTAGAGAGACCTAAGAGTCTTCTTAGGAGCACTTATCCAAGGCGAACCCGCGACAGCGAATCTCCATAAGGCGTTAACATGCTCGGGTAATGCATAATCTATCCCTACTCGCGGTCCGACCATTATTTTCTCTACCTCTGGTCCATCGCAAATCTCCAACCCCCCTGTTTCAATACATTCTCACCTCTCATAAAGCATAACCCAAAAAAAAAGCATAACGAGGTCTTATAACCCCGGGAAAATAAAAAGCATAACGAGGTTTTCCGGGTTATAAGTCAGTCTTATAGCCCGAAAAGAAAAAAAAGCATAACGAGGTTTTTCGGTCACGGGGTCTAACCGGGAGTATACAGAGGGTGGTGAGACCAATCTGGTGAGAGTCCAAGAGCTTGCCCGACCTAATAAAATCATTTGAATCATATGCATAATATTTCAAAACCGCGCTTGGGATATCTACTCAAGGTGATATTGATAACAATTTTATTCGATATTGTATCCCTTTTCACAGTTTTTTTCTCTCTATTGAAAGACCTATAACATGGGTTTTCATAGGTCTTATGGAGAATTTCTTTGATCACTACTTACATTGATATTGGATAACAGATAAAATTACGAACAAATCTATATTTTTTTCCAAACTTACGATATTTAACAGTCTGAGATTCATTGTTTTTTCTAATCAGCAGTCCTTAAGCGATGTATCCCCGTTGAAAATAAACGGCAAACTACAATATAGATACCGTTAAAAGCCGAAACGCCAAACAACTTGCAGGAATTTTTTGCGTTCTTCTCTATGACGTATACTATATCATGTACTACGAACAAAGGAACATAAACAAGAAAGAACACTAGAAAGTGAGCTAACCTTTCCTGGTCCTGTAAGAAGAACAGGCTTGTCAGTTTTCTGACCACGACGCCCCTGTATTGTCTCCAATCCTGCAAGATCACTACCCTTTGAGACCATCGATGATGAATAAATTTGAACAAGGATGGGGTAAAAAAGAAAACGCCTCTTGAACAACATTCTTCGGTAAGAGTTTCTATGTTTTACTACGATGACAAGCCAAGACACGAAATTACAACATGCAGAAAGACCACTTCGTATAAGTTTGAGCTTCAGGAAAGAAAGTGAGAAGCGAGAAACATTACAGTGCTGAAGACTCGGGACCATTTTTGTTTGCGTGGATGGATAATTACCGTTAACCGGAGAACAAGCTCGTATCAAAACAGCTGCTCCAACTCCTTCCTTATCAGCCACAATATTCAGCATCATATGGAGACCATAACAAAGATAAACATATGCATGCCCCCCTGGCCCAAACTGAAACACCAGAAAAGAAAACTCTGGACACATTTCAGAAAAGGTGTAGAAAATGTAACTCGTAACAAGCGATGCGGGAAACTAAATAACTCACGATGGGTGCAGTTCGTGTTGTAACCCCAAATCGACCATGGCAAGCTGAATCATTTGTTCTATAAGCTTCTACCTGCCAAAATTTACAGTCACCAAATCAGAGACTGACCTAGCACATGTAAGAAGAGCAAAGGCCACCTTTCTTACGACTACGGTATCAAACAAAATCCACACGGAACAGCCTCAGTCTGCTGTTCTGTCCTAAGAACATTTTTGTACTCAGATGAATTCCTGATATCTAGTGAGGCAGTAATGCAGTTGCTTGATCATGCCCTCTCTTCCTTTTGATTACAAGTCAAGATCTTTTGGACCCTCAAAGCTAATTAGTAAAGTACCAACGAGTAATTACTCATGCTTGAACTACAACTCAACGTTAATGAGACATTTCAACGGGCTTAAGACCGCTTAAGGAATCTTCTGTAGAACATAATCTCTGTTTTCTTCTATCAGACAAAGTGATATGGGCTGATAAGCTCAATCTGTTCCGTAACAGAACATAACCCATAATCTAAAACCTCAAAAGCCTCCAGATTTTCCAACATTCTCCCATATTTTCTGCAGAACCAAACAGGATCCCAAAAAATGGCGCTTACCTCTGTAATCCGCAGCACAACATTGTCTCTCCTCAGGAATTTCCCGAGCAAACGCGGCGCGAGATCCAGGGCATCTACCTGGAAGAAATCCTTGCTCATCAGCTTCATCTCCGCAGAGATTGGAACCGACAGGATCCGAGGTTCGATCCCGGCCGGCGAAGATTCCGGTTTGATCCGGATCGCCCGAGTCTTAGAATCGTTCTCCCGTACTGGTGCGGTCACTCGGCGAGTGCCACTGGATTTTTGACCCGCATCCCGCGTCGGTCGTCGAGTCTGTGGTTTCATGTCGGAACAGGAGAAGCAGATTTTTGTCTCAGAAGAGCATGAAGAATGAAATCAAAGTCTTCACCTTTATTATTGTCTTGTTGACATCTTCATCGATTTGGCGGGCAAGGAGACAGTGGGCAATTCACATTTAGGGTTTGATTTGGTGAACATTTTTCAAAACTGTGTTGTTTTATAATCCTAATGTAATACTTTACATTATTTATTTTAGTCTCATTAAGATATTTTTTCATTTGATTATTTTATCTGAATAAGTAAATCAAACATTTGTGTAAGGATGGGGTTTTTATTTTGATTTTTTGGATTTAGTTTTTGGGTTTTAGATTTTGGTGTTGAATGAGAGGAGGTTTTCAGAGTTTTTGGATTTTAAAAACTGAAAAAACCGACAAAGTTTTTTAAAATTTGGTTTTCCTAAAAACCCGAAAATCTACTTTATGGAAAAAATCAACTAAAAACCAAAAGCCATAATTTTTTAGTTTTAGAGGCGGAATGGAAGTAGTTTTTATTTTGGGTTTTTGGTTTTTGGTTTTTAGTTTTTGGTTTTTATAGTTTTTACAGTTTTTAGAAAACTTGATCGGTAAAAATAATATTTTAGCTTTTGGTTTTAGATTTTATATTTAAAAATTACCAAAAAAGGTATTTATTATTAAAACAAAAATCATATTTATTAATATTAGTAACAACAATAAAAAAAAAATCAATATCGAGAATCCCATAATGTCGTTGCAATTTCATCTCGAATTCCCTCCATATACCTAATCGAAGCATCGTTTTGGTTTTCTTCGTCATTTTCATCATCCGGTGAATCATCTTCATTTGTTGCATCACTTCCTTCAACGGATTCTACCTCAAAATCAATATCTTGTAAGTTTAAGAAACGATTAAAATTATGCAGTGCCATTGTTGCCGCCACAACCTTTCGTTGGACCCGTATATTGTACCTTGGTTTTTCTTTCAAAACTCGCAATTTCACCTTCCATATTTCGAAAGTTCGCTCATTACTGATCTAAGGGAAGAATGCTTCTTATTAAACATTTTCTTATAACTAGTAGGTTGGCATGATGTACTGTATTGATCAGGGTGATACATTTCTCCCCGATACGGTGTGAGAAAACCGGGTCGAAGAGCATAACCAAAATCACTTAAATAATACTTTCCAACAGGGAGAATTGGAAAATTATGATTTCCCTCCATGGCTAATGCGAGAACCTTTGCATCATGAGTAGATCCAGTAATACCAATATACGCATATGTAAAAAGCATGTCGAGATTACATATTGCTAATATGTTTAAACTAGTGTCGCTAAAACCATACTTTATCTCTATCATACTAAAATTGAGTTTCACCCAAAAATCATACTTATTACGTAAATGTATACCAATGATAATTACATTTACAAATATTAAAGTTATTTGAATATGTAATAGGGGTTTGATTTTACTATACAAAACCTCGATATAATGTGCTTCGCGACATCTATAAAAGAATAAAACATAGATTGTATATAAGAGATCTGAATTAATATGAAACATAGATATGAACTGAACATGATTATTTGATAAATATTGAGTCCTATCTAATGCACCAATGAAACCTCTAAAATACGGCCAAAATCTTCTATCTGATTGCAATTTCGGATGAGGTTGTATAAATTCATCTGGTTTAGACTTAAGTAAATCAACGGCCATACGTTCGAGAGCATCTAAAACTTCGTGAAATTTTCGACCCACAGTCTCTTTGCATGACCAAATACCTTTCCAACATACCTTTGCGTTATGTTTTTTAAAAAAATATTAAGAAAAATTGCCACACTTTCCTCGATACTAATTGTATCGGTTCCTTCAAATCATAGTCGCTCTCTAACTTTTGACATAATGATATGAAGACCGTGGATACATGCTGATCATATTGTAGCATTGTTCTTCGTGACCGTGAATTAATTCATGGACATCTCGTCGTCCACGTTTTTTATCTAGATTCATCAATTGTCTTGGCATACTCTCCGAAAAAAAATCTATGTATGACTCTTCAAAGAAGATGTTAGCATCATCTTCAATTATTCTATACAACATCTGCATCCGATGAATATAAAAAGTTATATTAAATTAATAACATATGATCTAAAGATTTTAAACATGTAAATAAATAAGCTTGAAATGATAACAAATAATTATTTGATAACAAAAAAAACATAAAAATGTAAAATCAAGATAAAAAATACTTATTAGATAACATAAAAACATAAAAAAACAATTTATTTATATAGTAGTTCCTCGATCAATCTAAACATCCGTCCGTTTGATTCCTATCATGCGCTCTAGATAAGAAACGCGGGCTTCCTCATCTGACAAAGTCAAATAAACACGAGTATGTATCTCGTTGCTTTGGAATACATTTATTGCCTCCCAATATAAAGACGAATTATAAATAATACCGGGTAAGGTAACCAATGAGTTAATTGCACGCTCTAATTTATCATCATGTAAACGTTCATATATTTCTGTCCGCTTCATGTAAGCTTCGTTAGTCACATAATCGAACGGAACTTTTGATGTTGAACGTTTACGTGATGACGAAGAAGAGTGTGAAGATTTACCATATAACCGTTTGGACCTTTGGTTATATGGGTGAGTATGTATTGTCTCACTTATATTATCTAGTGGCACATCGGAATCATTGTCGATGTCTTCTGTCTCTGGCAGATTTTCACTTGGGTTTTCTGATTCGACATGTTGATCCACTCCTACTCCCGGATAATATCCATTATCAGTACCGATGTGCTTATTTGCAAATATTCAATCTAATATATCGATATCGGTAAATGGGTGTGCTCGAAGTTTTGCAACATCCGGTATTTCCTATAAAAAATATAAAAAAAATGTTAAATAAATATATTTATCGTGTCTAGATTTTAAATTTGAGAATATGTATATAATGATAAGAATTATATAGAAATTACCTTAATACGATCATTCCACCATGCTGATGGATGTGATGTTCTATGATGATCATACGATATGAGAACTATGTATGATACGATGTATTTATTGGATGAATGTATTGTTTGTTCATTATTTATTTTGCATATTTGATAAATAATGACATCCATGGATCGTTATGAACGATCCTACGTTTACAGAGGATCCAAAGTGAACCATCAAGTGAGATTCAAGTCATGGATTAAATCCAAATCGACAATCTCACGCGAGTCATCCAGTACATTACGAATAATGAAGTGGATAGTAGATAGTCAAGATGGAACTTTGTCCCTCTCGAAAGAGAGAGATATCGCTTGGGCCTGTCGTAGGAGTGAAATTGTAGAAATGTGTGGCCGCACTATAGAAGAATGCCATCTATCTCTTACAGTCTACTCGGGATACGACAAAGCATTCGAACTATGAGTTCGATTATTATATCGTGAGACAAAGAGGATCATCGTTAGAGCTATCTCTGGCTTTTCGGTTAGATCACATCTAACTCTTTCCGATACGGGTAATCATAATGTCTTGCTAGAGACCGCTTATGATTTGTAAAGTGAGATTGGATCTCGTGTTTACTGCCGTATTCGGAGGAGCCTAAAGGGTCACACACATATGGGATGAACGTGTATGTACGGGATCATATGGACGAGAAAAATCAGATTTTTCTCCGTCTAAAGGCCTGGTCTGGCTGACCAAAAGTTGGTCAGCCGGACCAGACGGATTTGGGAGAGGCGGACCGGATGACCGAAATAACTGCCAGATCGCGGAAATTCCGGACTGTCGGCAGGACACTGTGCTTGGTCCGACGGACTAATTCTTGGTCAGCTCCGGACCAAGCACGTGACTGCGCAGAATTTTGGTGTTTTGTTCACTTGGTCCGACGGACCAAGAGTTGGTCAGTCCCGGACCAAGTGACAATCAGACCCAAATGCATCTTTTCTTCCCCTTTTCTTGGTGGGAAGCAGGTGGGACGAACCAAGACAATCATTCTGTCTTTCTCAGACCTTTGGAAGGTTTTAGAGAGAGAGATAACTCTCCCAAGTGTTGAAGAACACTCATACACAAGAGATTGGATCTCTTGGGCTCTAGCAAGCTTGATTCCAAGTGTTGGAATCTATTCCAAGGTGTGGACTACTCAAGAGGATGTTGACTCTTTCAACACCTAGGCTGTGATCAACAAACCAACCTTCGGATTGTGAATCAAATGTTAGTTTTTCTCTTCAAGAGAAGTTCTTCATCGAAAGGTTTGGTCCGTGGGTGTTCAAAAACGTTTTGAACGCTAATTCCGCTGCGTAAGCGCGCAGACCAGATCCTACCACGGTTTTGAACCGGCGGTCTAGGATCCCTTGTGACCCAGCACATGCATCATCCATGTTGATGGCTTGTGTATCGGGATGAAGTGCGACTCTAGTCTTCCGAATCAATTGACGATAAAATATCGTATTGTTTTTTAATCGAATAATATTTATTTTTAAATTTTTTTCAGTCTAAATTATAACCCGTGGACTCTCGAAAGGTCTCGATTATTCTCATCTTACTTTCTTTTTTAAGATTTTGACTACGCTATCCAGTGCGATCCAACTCTTTCTCGTATAGTTCAAGAAAAATATTGACCAATCTATCGGTCCATTGTATCGTCACCTTAAAAAAAACATTATTACATACACCAATCAACGATACAAAAAAATATTATATTATAATAAAGATTATTTATAGAATATATATACCTCTCTAACATATGACGATTATCCCTTTGAATTCACCATGTTCGTACTGTAAAAAGACATAAGTTATATTTTTTATTTCGTATATAAATAATATAAATATAATATATATATATATATAAATATATATATTTAAATATAACATATATCTATGTGTAAGTATATATATATACTATTTATATCGTTCAAATACATATACATATATATATAGGGAGAATCGCCGTAAAATATCTGTACTTTTTTCTGGTCTCAATTTAATACCTGTACTTTTTTAATTACTGAATAATACCTGTACAATTGGTTTTTCTTCAAATAAATCCTATACTTTTAAATTATTGGCCAAAAATACCTACCGTTAAATAACCGCCACGTAGACAAACGGAAATCCTACGTGGCGGCGAAATTCTCAACCTCTCTCCTAATCATCGTGCCATGTCATCGCCACGTCAGAAATTAAATAATAAATAAATAAATAAGAGGTAATCGCATAAAAATACCCGAACTTTTACAAAAATTCCAAATAAATATCTGAACTATAAAATTATTATATAAATACCTGAACTTTTCAAAACTCCCACATAAATACCCAAACTTTTAAATTTTTTCCAAATCAAACAAACGCAACTGCTGACTCAACAAAAATCTACTGACACAGCCAAAAAACTGCTCATTCAGCAAAAAAACTGCTCACTCAGCATTCAAAAATATTATTAAATATTCAAATATTCATCTATATGTATTTAAATTAATATATACATATAAATTCACATATATATACAAATATATATATATATATATATTAAAAATAAATTATTTATAATTAATAAAACACATATACACATAACTATAATATATATATATATATCATTACTAATGCATATATATTACAATAAAAATAATTATAATGAAATTTATTATTAAAAATAATAATAATGCATAAAAATAATTATAATTAAATATAAATATTATGTATATATATTACTAAAAATAAAAATAATAATAATGCATTATTATTTTTAATAAGTATTTTAAAATAATAATAATG